TGGAGGTTGAGGAGGTGGTCCACCGAGAGCTGTTGTAACGCATGGGTTTGTCGTCGCGCTTCGTTTATCTGTCTTGTGAGCTTCCCTTCCCTTTCCTCTCCTCCCCTCCCCCTCCTCTGCGCCGCCGCCGCCTCTGCCGCTTCCTCCTCCTCCTCCTCCTCCTCAACCACGCGAAGAGATAGAACGCTCGTTAACCCTGAGATTCAAATCGCTCTGCTAAACGTCCTGCCATTGGCCATGAGCCTGCCAAGTCAATCTGCAGCAGCAGGAGCAGCAACACCCCATTTATTTGAATGTATGAAAATGAAGTTAAGGGGATTCTTGTCGTGGGACGACGCATTGGGGTGCGGGTGGGGGCGGGCGGTTGTGGAGAACCCCAAGTTCACCTGCCCTGCCCTGCCCTGCCCTGCCTTGCTCTGCTCTGCCATGCTCTCTGGGGCTTCGAGAGGGAGCGACGCGGGGAGATAACGGGGTAACCGGCTAATCTCTTTTGCTGCCGGTGGAGTGGAGTGGAGCGGAGTGTGTGCAGGCGCCGCCGGCGCGATGGCAGTGATGGTGATGGTGATGGTGGTGGTGGTGGTGATGGTGATGGTGGTGGTGGTGGTGGTGGTGGTGGTGGTGGTGGTGGTGGGTATGGGTATGGGTATGGGTATGGGTATGGGTATGGGTATGGGTATGGGTATGGGTATGGGTATGGGTATGGGTATGGGTATGGGTATGGGTATGGGTATGGGTATGGGTATGGGTATGGGTATGGGTATGGGTATGGGTATGGGTATGGGTATGGGTATGGGTATGGGTATGGGTATGGGTATGGGTATGGGTATGGGTATGGGTATGGGTATGGGTATGGGTATGGGTATGGGTATGGGTATGGGTATGGGTATGGGTATGGGTATGGGTATGGGTATGGGTATGGGTATGGGTATGGGTATGGGTATGGGTATGGGTATGGGTATGGGGATGGGGATGGCGATGGCGATGGCGATGGCGATGGTGCTTGGCGTTGCATTGCCGCGCTTGTTAGTGTACGCAAGTTAGACTACGTAAACTGCGCGTGTGCGTGTGTGTCTGTGCCTGCATGTCTGTGCGTGTATGTCTGTGCGTGTGCGTGCGTATACATTTAAGGGCGAAGCTTGGGCTGGGCTGACGGCAGAGGCGGCGTCATTGGCTGTTGAGCCAAAGCATTGCGCGGCTGGGTGTTGTTGTAGGAGGGGTTGCGCGGTTTGATTCGCCAGGAGAACAAAGTGGGGCTTTTCCAGGGAGGACTTTACCTTTTGTGTGTGCAGTTCGCTGCGACGATGGGCGAGTAAAGGGGCGAGAGCTCTTTTTCCGTGCTTCTCGTGCTTCTCGTACTTCCCATGACGGGTGCGGGACGTTGGGGGATCTGCGCGGCCGGTAGCATCTTGCTGTTTGAAGTGGGGGGTGTCGCAGTGGGGGGTTAGGGTTGTCCCCTAAAGGGTTGTCCCCTAAAGGGTTGTCCCCTAAGGGGACAACCATGCGCTATGTATGCATGAATGCGTGTAGATATGCCTGCTTTAGGGACTTCTGTATGCTCTGGGCCTCGATATGCACGAGCAGCACTCTTCGAGCAGATTCTTATGGGGGAGGGAGAGGGAGAGGGAGCGGGCGACAGCGTGCGAGCCGATTTAAAAAGCGAGCAGCTCCTAAAGGCCTATTGTGCACGCTTAACATCCAGTTTTAAGGTTACTGCGTTGCTGTGACTGCACTTTGCGGTTGGCGCGCTGCCATATGAAGTTCCCCCGTGCCTACTAATGACTCTGGATCCAAAATAAAATTCTCAGATCCTATGATCCAAGTGGAAGCTCGTTCCTACGCAGCGACAGCGCTGTCTGCAAGCTCCTTTAGGCCATGTAAGAATCAAACGCTCTGTGGCGGTGGTTGCTGTATGCGGTGGCAGTGGCGATGGCACTCTGAGCTCGTTGTAGGTTGGTCTCCCCGGACGCGTGGGTCCTGTTTTGGATTCCGTTTTGCATTCACCTGTTTAGGCTATATACGATTCAGATCCTGAAAAAGTGTTTTACTTACCGGTGCTTTGTTAATGGTTATTGCTTACGTTGCTTATGTAACGCCATGGCGGGGGGTTATTGTCGTTATCGCCCTGCGTACGGAATATTTGAATGTGTTTTAGGAGATGAAATACCAGTCCATGTCGGCACAGGACGCTTAGCTGGGGCTTGTTGTTGAAGGGGCATCGCACGGCGTCGCAACGGAGGGAGGCGAGCTACTCTGATGCCGTACTGCTCCTTTAATCTAAAATCTGTGGCCCGGCCTATCTTTATGTGTGTAGGCGTGTGTGCATGTGTACGTGTTCGCGCGCTTGTTTGCTCCCTCTGGCATGCTCTCGCACGTTCTGTTGCCGCTCAGTGTCCGTTGTGCCGTACCGTGTATCCTAGCGAGCATCGCGTTGCGACAAAAAGAAAGTATTTATTTTTATGCTTATGCCTGCACCGTGCGGACCGTTTGCTCAAAACACGTTATAGGGGTGTGGATGTAGGGGAGTTTCGGGGCATCTGCCAGCATGCTTCACACGCTTGGCGCCTGCGGTCGTCCTTCTTCTTCTTCTTCTTCTTCTTCTTCTTCTTCTTCTTCTTCTTCTTCTTCTGTTTTCCCTTTCTGTGCCCTTTCCCGCCTTTTTCAATATTCTTCCCCCTTTTTGGGAAACGTTCTTTTCAAGGTAATTTTGATTTCAATTCACGGACCCATTTCAAACTGGCGATTTCGCGCGCCCAGATCCAATCATCATCCACCAACTGCCGTACTGTACGGCGCACCGCGGCCTTCTTATACCGTCCCCTAAGTTCTGTCTCACCTCTTCGTCTTTCCATGTTGTTCATTGACGTGCGGATGGTATGTGTGTGTAAACATCACGGTCTTGTCGGACGGACTTCGTTCACCATGAAGGGGTGTACGGCTGTCAAGCAGCTCTCGCTAGAGTGACTGTCGTAGTGGTGATGATGATGATGATGATGATGATGATGATGATGATGATGATGATGATGATGATGATGATGATGATGATGATGATGATGATGATGATGATGATGATGATGATGATGATGATGATGATGATGATGATGATGATGATGATGATGATGATGATGATGATGATGATGATGATGATGATGATGATGATGATGATGATGATGATGATGATGATGATGATGATGATGATGATGATGATGATGATGATGATGGTGGTGGTTGCGACTGTTGAGGTGCGGCGGGCGTGACGACCTCAGTTAAGATTCACCGTAGCGGGTCGGGGGGCGACAGGGCCAGCGGCAGGTGTGGCGACAGCTTCACCCCTCCCTTCGCTCTCTCTTTCCCCGCTCTTTCCCCCTTCCTTCGCTGCCGCCCCTCTCCATTTCCTTTCTTGCGAATTTTTGGCTGGCCCGAGAAGCAACCTGAGCGGCCTTACCAGCGAATTTTCGTTCCCCTATTCTGCATGCTGTGCCGTACTCCATGACTGATCGTACTCGCCCTACTGTTTTATCCCTGAGTTTCTTTTCTTGTGCGGCATGACAGCCTATAGAAAAGCGGCCTCAAATACATGTCAGGGACACTCCTTATGTTCCCAGGTCAGTTGCCATCTGGCCCGTGGAACATCAGCAGTTGGTTGAACGTCGTTAAAGTGGTTAAAAGTCGTTAAGGCGGCTTAGGAGCCTAACATCGTGGGACCGCCTTGTCACCTGTAGAAGTGTGTCGTTGTACGAGATCTGATGCACCTGTACGGCCCTCTTTGCTGCCGTACTACACTGACTGCAGTCGTAAGCTATTATGGGTCCTCAACTTTTCAGGGCTACATGTGTGTATGTGGGGGTGTACGACGAAGCATAGACGATCGGGGGGAGGGAAGGGGGGGGAAAGAGACAGAGAGCGCGGGGGCCCGGGGGGGAGAGGGGGACTTACTTCGATACAGGAACTTTGTCGTCGGCTCGGGAAGGACGATCAATGGCATTTTGGCGGGCGATACCTTGGACATCTCATGGACCTGCAGGGCAGGGTAGCAGGCAGGGAGTGAGGGAACGGCTGTGTCGAGCTATCGGGATTGGAGGCGGGAAGGTTTCTGTACGCTCCGCGAGCTCGGCCCTTCCCCCGGGGGGAGACACAGGGGATGGAGTTTTACCGTGCGCTTGTGCTGGTGTAGGCGGCGCTGCAGCACCCGCAAGTGTGCTACAAGTAATTGAGGCGCAACGCTTTATTTTCGCGATGCTGCTGCTGTTGATGCTGGTGGTAGCGGCGCTGATGGCAAACAGAAGGGTGTGTGTGTGTGTGTGTGTGTGTGAAGGGATGGATTGAGCTGGCTGTGCGTTGGAGCATGTTGATGAATGATTGGCACATGTGTGTGTGTGTGTGTGTTTTGGGGGGAGGAGGGTGTCCGGTCCCAATTATGGTTTCCCCTGGCAATCGTCATCTCACCCGCAGGCCAGGATTGAAAGGAGAAAACCCATCTGTGGCAGTGTAATTATGGCTGCTTGGTTTGGATTTTGCTGGGCTTGGACAGGCATTTTGGATATTCTGATAGTAGTTATGCTGACGCGAAAGCCTCATTCCCTCTTTGCTTGCTCTCTGAATGCGATGGTGTGTGGCGTGTGGGGTGCGTGTTTGTGGGGAGGGGGGGCACTGGCTGCGGTGGTGCGCAGCGCAGCTTTTGGCGGCGCGGCAATGGCGGCATGGACTGCCCCAGCCCAAACGCCTCCTGGCGCCCATTGATGCTCATCCTGATACTGATACTGATTAGTTGCTGATGCTGAGCGGCGGAGCTGCTGCAGTACACTCACGCGGCTTGCGGGGTCGGGTTTGTGCCGGAGGGTTGTGCACCACGGTCGCACCTCCTGATGTGGAGGTATGGAGCGCGGTGTGTCGCACTCGCAACCTTCCGGTATCTATCATATCTCAAACGATAGCGACGAGTTCTCCTCTTGTAGTCCTCAGTGTGCATCCTTAGTGGTGTGTGGCAAAGGGTGCTCTGCTTCTGTGGCTGTGGCTGCACTCAATGGAAGGACCGCGGGAATTGCATGCGCGCAACACGGCTGTACGGCAGATCCGTACAAGGAGCACTTCATTTATAACGTGTGCCTCTCATACGTTGACCAAAATCTTAGCTGCTGGGATTTTGCTTTTGCTGGGCTTTGTGGGGCTCCGTACACACAGCAGGAGGTGGCACAGGCAATCCAAGCCGGCGATTACCAGTGGTGGTCGCTGCTGGTATGAGAAACGTGGTGTGTGTAGCGGCATTTTTGGGTTGGTGCCCTTGGGGATTGTCGTACGCGTCCTATCAAGCACGTGTCTTGTCGTACCTTTTCTGATCGTTTTGATCGTTTTATTGACTGGATGTTGAAATCCAGTGCCGATCATGTAGCTTTTGATTTAGAGCTCTATTGAGGTTCATTTGCATGCGCTGCTCCAAAACGACTCCCTAGCTGTTACGCCATTAGCCCGATTGTTTCTTAGTTGGCTTTTCGCTTGCCGTACATGGCTTATTAGTCACTGCACGCCGCCGTGCTAAGAACCAATTGTTGACTTTAAGGTTCCAAGCATTGTATCGTGCCTTTCCGTGTTTCATGTCGAGATGTGTGTGCGTGAAGTAGGTCAGCAGTGTCAGGACGGGTTGCGTTAACGTACGTACGTACGTACGGGTGTACAGCAGGCTCATCCGGCAAGCTATTGCCGCCCATGCCTGCTACCTCCTACCTCTACTTAGGTGCCTCTTGAGTGCTGTACCGAGAGTTATACCGTCATGTCGTACACTCTCGTAATCCTTGCAACCGGACTCAGTGCATGCAATCACTGCAATCATCATGATGGCGCACGCAGTTTCCTTCGGTAACATACTGGATGTACGTTCAGATCCGCGAAACCCTAAGTCCCCAATGTGCACCCGAAGACCCGATCAACAGCTTGACACCCTGCAATGTCTGTCAGCCAGGACGGTGCGAGATGTTTAAATGTTATTACAAAGGGGTTTTGGAACGAAGCCAGCTTAAACAATCCCAGCCAACCTTTTTCTTCATGCGACAAATGACCTCTGATGACCTCTGAGCAGGCCAGGTAAGGGCTGAGCCCACGACGCTCAAACCGAGGGCGGCATGGAGGCGTCCATGGGGGTGCTGCTGGGTGCGCTAACTGAAGACTAAGGGTACATATTTTGACTTCGAATTAGGGTAGACATGGCTCTATACAGAGCCAGTCGCGCATTTTGAAAAGCCCTGCGCGATCTCGCTCGCCACACCTTAAACCGGCGACAGCAGACAAATGGAGGAAGTGCAGAATAAAGACGCAGTTCCAAGAATGGCGTCAGTCGTAGTCTCTCAGATGTAAACCTGTGCGCTGTAGAAGGTTGTCTACTTGAGAGCTGCAAGGATGAAAATGTTAGATTTGCAATGTGAAAAGGAAATCGCGTCCATTGCATACTGGTCTTTGGCAGGCTCTGGACAGGCAGTAGCCGCAGCGCATACCTGCGTTGGCAGGATTTGCCCATTGCAAAAAAAATGCGATTGCATATTCCTGCCTTCCCAATCACGCATTGCAACATCTTTACGTGTTTTTTCTGCAATGAGAGATCCTACGTACAACTTCGCTGCAAATAATGTACCGGGGCCTAACCTTGCATATTTTTCCTGTGCAAATATAAAGATAATTTCTTGATCGTTCACATATAAAACTTTGGACTTCTCTGCAGAGTCCAGATCATCGATCGGCCCCGGACAAGGTTAAAGACGATGTCACGACTAGCACTTGACCCGACAGCACGCCTAACCAACTATTCCACATTAAGGAGCCGATCCCGCAACCTTCCGTTCACCTGCAGCTCCCTTCCACCGTCGGCACTGCCATCGCCGGTGTCATCGGTTTCCCGGCGCTGTTTGAACGCAGCTGCCGCTGCTACCTTTTCAGCCACAATCCTGCATCCCGCAAACATATCGATGAGCGTCGAAGCTAGGGACGTCGTGGCCGCTGCTGCCGTGCCTTCGGCATCGACATCATCACCAGTTGCTGGCAACCCTGCCAATCTTGACCTGTTAGTGGTTGGCCCGGGCGTCCTCGGAAGTGTTCTGGCAAAAGATTGGCTCGAGTCTGTACCCGGCAGCTCCGCAACCGGCCTCACAAATAGTGAAAAGAGCCATGACAGGTATGGATGTACTGCATCCACAGCCTGCAATGTTTTCAGCCCATATTCTTCTCGCAAGCCTATAAACCACATTCGACCCATAACGAAAAAATTCTCTCTCTCGCGCGCGCTCTCTCTCTTTCTCTTTCTCTCTCTTTCTCTCTTTCTCACCCACACAGCAAGATGCGCAGCCGAATCCCCTCCCTCGCGACCGTCTCGAGGCGGCTATGGCTTCCACTACCAGTTGCCATCCTCCCCCCACCCGCTCCCAGTCGCCTCTCCTCTCTCCCCCATTCCCCCCGCCACCTACCAACCGTCCCCACTCCCCCTCCCCACTCCCTCTCACTCCCTTTGCCACCGTGCCAATCTACCTCCGCTTTTTCCCGTCTCCCTCTTTCCCCTTCACCCCACCCCACCTCAATCCGCTCCACACCGGGGCTCCCCCCCTCCGCCGCCCCCTCCGCAGACTCCGAACCATGGGTCTCTCTCCCGCCACCCGCACCTCCCTGCCCGAGGGCCGCAAATGGAGCTTCGTGGTGTTCAGCGCTCCCCCCTCGGGCAGCGAGGACTACGTAGCAGATGTGAGTGAGAGGGGGTGGGAGGGGGAGGTGGGGAGAGGGGAAGAGAGCGGGAGAAAGTTGGTATCGCGTGCGGTTGTCAATCAGTTCCTTTGAATACACACACACACACACATACACACACAGGCATATAATACACGAACAAATTAACGCTTTCTGCACCCTTGCCGTGCGTTGCTCCCGGCAACCCCTCTCCCCCCTCCTTCCCCCCTGCTCACCCGCGCACACGCATTTTCCCTGGCCTCGCAACTCCTCTCCCCCCGCCTTCTCCCCCCAAACTACCCTAAGGTCAAATCGGCACTGGCATTGTGGGACGGCAGCGGATGCTTTGTGTTCACCTCCTCCATGTCCGTGTGTGGAGTGGATGATGGGGGAGAGGTCACGGAGGAAACCTGCCCGTTGGTGGCCCGGGGCGCGAGTGCGTCAACGGACAGGCTGCTGGGGGCGGAGGAGGCCGTGCTGGAGGTGTGTATGTATGTGTGTACGTGTGTGTACGGCACAGTGCGTGTAATCGGGATATAAGGTGCAGGAGCAGTTGCAGGAGCAGTAGACAAAAGGTGGTGTATGCTTAGGGGTGAGGGAAGGGGGGAATTTGTCTTTTTGGGGGGGGGTATGTCCTGGAGGGAGTCATGCGTGGGGCTGTTTTTGTGTACGGCAAGTCAGTACTGCGTGGAAATGTACGAATAATGGGGTGAGGAACAGGGATAAGTAGGAATGTCGCAGCAGGCTGGTAAGGGGGGGGTATGGGGGAGGGGGGTTTGGAAGGGGCAGCTTGTATGCGCAGAAAGGAAAGGAACGTGGAGGTTCGTGTGAGGCGAGGGATGCTCCTCCTGAGCCTCTCCCTCTGAGGGCCTTACTTAACTGCGCATCTCTCTTAACTGCGCGGGCTCCATGGCCCTCGTCCCCCCGATACACACACGCGGTGATGAGGCCTTCTCCCCCTTCCCCGACCCCCATTTGGTAGCCGTTGTTGCTTTGTTTGTTGGGGGCCCCCCCCAACCCCCGGGGCTTCATCTCCCCCCACCCCCCCACCCTACTCACGCCAGGCGGGTGGCTGTGTATTGCGGCTCGTGGGGCTGTATAACGCCAACAGAGGAGCCCACACCTATTTCATGAAAATGGTGGGTGGGTGGGTGGGTCCTATGTATGTATGTATGTATGTATATGTGCATGTTTTAAGATTTTTAACTGATTAAAACTTTTGTGAACAGAGCAGAATTTATTACTCGTATCGCTATTATCACTCGTACCGTATTAGCCCTTGAAGGCAGCCATCGAATTCCCGGAATGCCCTCTTGACTTTCTCTTAAGCACAGTACATAGTTCCGTACATTCGTACATATTCACACGCGCTATCTTATCTCCATGGCTTGTTTAGAATTTGTGCGAGTAGAACTTATGTACACGCGTACGACGTACGACGCCCCAGGGTACGGTGGCTCGTCCTGGCGGCTATGTGGTCAACCTGCTGCATTACGAGGATGCGGCGGGGATGGGCGCGGCGGTATGTGTTTGGATGTGTGCATGTGTGTATGTCTGTATGTACGCGTGCATGTATGAAAAACAAGGAAAGAGGAAAGTCTGTGCGTATGAATGTGATTGTGTATTTCTTCGCGTGAGTGTGACTTCGTGAAGGGGTGGGTGCGCGTGTGTTAGCAGCGGCTTTGACATCAGCCTCCTCGTACGACTCAGACTCCGCCGTACTACACACTTTCCTGCCGTACACCGCACGCAACAGATCCTCCGCGGCGACGGCAGTGGTCCCTTCCGGGGTCGTGTGTTTTTGGGTACAGACGGCCGTCCTGTGACGTTTGAGGACATGATGGAGGTGAGCTGTGAGTTGATGGAAATTGTTTAAAGTTATATAACATAAATAAAAAAATTAATTAAGATGAATATAAATTAATTAATAAACATAAATAAAAAAGAAAATGATTCTTGCTTGGTAAATCCATTTAATATCTCCTTTTCCCCGCCCCCTCTCCCCCTTGTACGGAACCCCCCCTCCTGCATCTTATATCTGCCGTACCGTGTTGCGCCCCCCTGTGCCGCCTGCTTCTCTCCTCGCGGTTTTCCTTAGAGGTCGCACCATTGCTGTCACCGTCCTCACACCCAGCTGAGTTTTGCCGCCGGTCCCCACAACCCTCCTGAAATCCTTCAACATCCTAAAATTCAAGAATAAAATGCACATATGTGTTCGCCCTAGGAAAACACACCCGAACAACCCATCCGCTTAACTTTTCTTTCCTGCCTTGCCCAATCATGGCCACCCAAACCCCCTTCACCACCACGTACTCCCCCCCAGGCGTGTTTCAGTTCGGGGGTATTCCCCCGCGTGCCGGTAACTTTCACCGGCAGCTTCCCAGAAGGTATGTATGTATGTATGTATGTATGTCCTCATTGCGTCTCAGTTCATAAAGCCACCAAGACATTTATAGATACACAGACAGACACACTTATACGCCCACATAAACGGACATACATACATACATACATGCCAACGTACGCACACGTCCATACACCCGCAGGCGGCAGCTCAGGCCGGGGCAAGCGAGTGTTCAACACCGCAAGCAGGGCCGCTCTGGGCAGCTGGAGCCCCCGCTACCCGTCCTTTGCGGAGTTCATGGCTTCTGGGGGGAAGGACTTCTACAGCTCCTCCGGACTCGCGTTCTAAATCATCATCGTGACGTTTGCTCCAGCATCCGCACCCGCGCACTACCACCCAACTACAGCTTTCTATCTTTTTTTTCTGTACGTGGAGCATAAATTTGCATTCCCGCATGCGTTTGCGTTTTTGGCAGAAAGAACTCCAGAGCACGCCCGCCCCGGCGGCAACTGTTGTCGCACGTTTTTTCGTTGCAAAAGAACGGTTCTGCAACTGCACAACTCTATGCAATCCTTAATATGGCCGCCAGTCCCTGCTGTCAGCCATAGTAAGCCGCCTGCAGTGGGACCCCTTGCTCCGCACTCAGCGTGTCAGGTCTGCCCGTGTTTCTGCTTGCACTGGCACTGGCATATCTTTGGGGGTTGTGAAAGTAACGGCTTTTGGGAGCCAGTCCCACCTGCCGTGAATGGGCTTAGAAAGCCCTAAATACATAACCAACCGCAAAATACGAAATCGGAAACTCCCGAAAAGTGCGTTTCGAAATAACGAATCTGGATCTTGCGGGGTTAGCGATAAGACCTGACAGCTGGGAGGAAGTGGAGCTGGTGACCTAGGACTGTGTGACTGCTTGTTTTCGGAAAGGAAGTCAAAGCTGACAACTTGGACGTGGGCCTAGCTGATATGCGAGAGCGCTGTGCGAGAACGGACCTCAAGATGGGTTGTACGATTTCATCGCGGAGCATCGCCTGCGGGATCCAAATAACGTTTCTAAACTACGAAATGTAAACAAAAAGACTTGTTATGGGGTAAAGAGGGTTGCAATGCAAGTTCAATCTGCATCTGTCCCTACTCGACGACAGCACCAGCAGGCACTGGCAGCACCCCTGATACTCAGCTCTCGCCTGATCGTTTTCCTCCCCCCCCATTGGCCTCCCCCGTCATGCTAGTATACACCATCGCAAAGTGCAGTGCAAAGTTGTGGCGTAGGAAACGAAAAATGCAACGCGGCAAGACGTGGCAAGGAAGGCAGGGGGTAGCGTGTGATCCTTGGTGCAACACGACCGCGTGATAGTATGGGGTGCATGTTTATATTAAAAAAAACAGTTTTAAATTAAAAAACACAGCACATGCGGATTCCTCATGTCAAGCCGTGCACCTGGCCATGTGCGTTCTTGTTCGTTGACAGTTGGGGGGGTACGGCTCCGGGATTGGTTATAAAACGTTTGGGTAGTTGCCAGGCAGGCAGACACAGCACTGTAAATGACGTGGCATACATACAGACCAGCGAATAAATGAACGGGCGCCGATGCCGCGTTGGTGCGCTGGGCTGCTTTCGGTGTGTGAGTCAATTCTTGGCCCCTTCGTGCGGGCCACGTCTGCAGAGGTGTTGGGGCGGGCGGTGGGGCACGTGTGTGTGTGTGTGTGTGTGTGTGCGGGGTGAATAAATCAACCTGGTGGTACAGGTACGTGTGCGTACGAGCATATGTTGCGTCATGGCGAGGAATGGAGCAGTTCCGACGATAGTCGTGCAACAGCCATTTGCATGCGTGTCTTTTCTGGCGCACGTAAAAAAAGGCTCATGTTTTGCACGTGCAGACGAATCTGATTTAACGATAGTTATGCCGGTTCGTAGGCTGCAATGGTGCGTTCAAGGATGGCCAATATGGGGGTGACCCCCGGGTCGGTGGCCGCTCCAGAACAAGGGCACAGAAGAAGCGCATCTTGATTATTTTTCAGTCCTGTTCTGACTGCCGGCTGGTCTCTGATTCGCCAAGCTAAAATCCATGCTAAATTTAGTTTGCGGGTATTTCGAGGGATTTTGGTGCCCGATTGGGGTCGTGGTCGGCAGGCAGTACGTTGACGCTTCTTTTAAAACCTTGGTCGTCGGTCAAACATGGAGGATCGCTCTGCGAAGTGCCCTGCTTTCCTACTTCTGTCGATTCTGCAGGCATGAATGACCCTGTTGAGCTTCCAGGCTCAAATTTATGAAGCAACCGCATTTATGTTTTTTTTTAAGGAAACGTTGCCCGACTGAGGGAGGCGGTTGATCGCCTGACGTCACGCCCCACGGTACGCTTTAAAATGACTTACGCACAAATCCCGATGAAGTGCGGTGCACCGCTCTTCTCGGCATAAAAATTGCATGTGCAGAAATCTTTTGCAGCCCATGTTATCTGCTCCTAAAGCCTCCTAAAGTTATACAGTAAAACGTCGACTGCGAGATCATTGTCCTTGTCAGCGCTCCGTCTCTTGCAATTAGCAATCGATTTAGGGGAAGTATTTCCCCAGCCGCCACGCCGGAAACATCGTTTCTTTTCGTTCTTGTTTCCGGCGCCTGTCGACTTGAAGGAGACCTTCTTCCTCGGGACGACCGGCTCAAGAAACCTTGGGCAGCGCCCCGAGACGAGTTTCGGACGGCAGTGGAGCGCTTTTACATCTCCGTGCGTGGAAGCGCACGTCAGTAATAGCGCTTCTTCTCAGCAGCGAAAGGCTTACTAACCGTACATTGCCTTTTCCGCTTTTCTTCGGTGTGCATACGCTCCAGATTACCAGCTGCCTTTTGCGACAATCAGGGCCAGCCTTTGGGGCACGCAGCAGCAAACGCCTACTATTTCAATTACAACGAGCACGGATTGACAGCCAGTTTCTCTCGCTTACAACCGATTAGGAAAGAATGGCTGGAGTGGTCAGGAGCAGCCTCGGCAAGGATCTGCAGCAGCCCGGAACTGGTCATGGCCGCTTTGACCATGGCCGCGTAGCTGCTGCTGCGAGGGTGGACTTTGTGGCTCTTCCAGGCAGTAAGTGGCGTTTTTGTCGGCGCCGCTGTGCAGTGGACGCTACCTTGGCGCTTGGCGCAGCGCAGCTGGCCGGTCAAACCGCCGCGTGCTGCTTGGTGGTGTCCACGACACATCCCAGCCCGTCAATGTTGAAACATCAACAGCTTCAGCAGCAGCATTATCAGCAGCAACGGCAGCACCAGCGCCCTATGGTGTGGCGATCGCGCGACGCGAGCAAATTTAAGCGAGGTGCGCAAAGCCGTGACAGAAGGACGTATCTTCGATCGGACGCGCTTGGGCACCTGGGACGCGCTTGCAGCTGGAGATGTCATGCTCTTTTTTATGAGTTAATTTGTGGCTCTCTTCACTGCTGCATCGCGGCCTGGCGGTAGTGCGGAACTGTTTTAGCAGCGCTGCCGCGCACCGAATAGCGGGAAATTGCAATTTTATTTCTCTGGCTCATCATATTATTCAGTGATTCTTATGGTTCCTTTGGCATTAATCCTGCAACACTCCTACCTTTTATCATTTTTTGTATCCCGTCGCACGATTTACTATCCTCGCCCAGTATGCCATACTTCCCTTGACTGCTAACTTGACTGCTTGACTGCGAACATGACGGATCACGCAATCGTGCTCCTCCATCGCGCGCTATATGGACATAATATCACGAATCGAACGAACCAGGTGTCCCGGTGCGCTTTCGCGAGGATGACGCACAGGCCCCGTCTACGGATTCCGCAGCTGCCAAACGTACAGGTAAGGTTCTGGTAAGCGAGGCTGCTTAAGAGTGTCGATTTACAACATATAACCGATATTCCACACAGGCATAGATTCAGAGAATCGTTTTCCGAAATCCTCCGCTGCGTTGCGTTGTGCGCTGTTGTGCTGCGCTGCGTTGTCCGCCGGCGGTGTGCTGCGACCGCGAAAGCGGCAACGACCATTACGATGATACAGAGGTAAAATGTTTTTCATATACCCTGTGTACAGCAACAGGTAATCTATATATATGAAGTTGGTAGAGGGGTACAACGTCATGGGTGGACGCGTCCAGGATTAAAGAACGACATTTCGAGCGGTGCAGCGTACAGAAGGTTGAGCTATTCTCTTTCAGCGTGCCCTTGATTTTCTTCCTTGATTTTGTCCTATGTGTTTTTCGTAGGCGCGCATCGGTCACAGGTGCCCGTTATCCTCAAGTACGGCAAGCATTGCAACTTTGGCGAGGCGTACGCAGTGGTGGGCTCGGTTTCGGAGCTGGGCTCCTGGGACCCCGCAAGGGCCGTCAAGATGCGCGTAAGGGGGAAGGGTTGGGGTGTGGAGAGTTCCGAGGGGGGTGCAATGTCGTACACGTGCATCATGCGTGTGTACAGCATTGAGATTTAACCCGACGCTGAGGCAGACATGCTCTTGGCCGAAGCCTCAAGCGCAATTTGCGTTCAAAGATTCGATGATTCACGTATTTCTGCAATTTTCACACTACGTATCGCATTTCGCTGTTGGGTTGTGAAGATTTGTCAGAAGAGATTTCATTGTGGAGGACAGGCAGAGAGGACTTCAAATGCTTTAGTTTCAAACAGTTTATAAATATTTTTAAGGGTTCTTCCTCATTTAATGTGGATTTTTCGGTAGTGGGGAGGGTACAGGGGGCCGATCCCGTCGACGAGATGGCGAGTTGGCAACGGCGTTTTGAAATGATGCATCGAAAAAGCATGGAGCACAGTCGGGTGGCAAGATTATGATGGTGAATGGCAGTGATTTTTATCATCAATGCCTCAGGGCTGGATTCGCACGTCGCCCAGGGGTCTCCTGCCTGTCGTCATGTCTCATCCCCTCGCGCCCTACCCTCTACTAACGTCTCCTCACCCCCCCTTACATCGGGCAGTAACCTCGCCACGTTGGGATCCCAACGTGATCCTTACGGCAGTTTGGTACCTTCAATGGCCGTTAATGGCGGCCGACGACTCCTCGCTTTTTTCTGCGTCTATCCACCTGTGTACTACCTCCTGCGGTCGTCCTGCGCTCGTCCTGCGCTCGTCCTGCTGTGCTCGTCCTGCTCCTCTCCTGCTCTCATCCAACTCTCCTATTCCCCCCCTGCTCTCCTTTCCCCCCACCACCACTTCCGTCTCTCCGTAGTGGACACCGGGCGACGTGTGGGTGGCCCACGTGCAGCTTCCCGTAGATACGGAAGTGCAGTACAAGTACGTACGGATCAACAAGGACGGCGCGTTGGTGGCGTGGGAGGGTGCTGATGCAGGTGCGGTTGTGCGTGCATGTGCGGGTTGCATCGCGGTTGGGATGTCTCTCGGAGCAGCTCCGTCATTCCGTGTCTCTTTTAATCAGTTATGGACGTCCAAAGCCAGCCAGGGCCTTTCCAGGGCTTCCCCAGACTGGCAAATTATGGTGAGGTTGGCGCTCTATTGGCTCTCTATTCCGTGGTTCGTTTCGTTTGTTGTCCGTTTGTGGTTCGTTCGTTTGTGGTTCGATCGTTTGTAGTTCATTCGTTGCGTATCCATGTTGACCGACGTTACGGCGACGACATAGTTGGTTTCGGAGGGAAGGGCATTGTGCGGAATTCCCCACTCCTGGGAGCCATGGCGCAGACGTACTCAAGTGGCGTGTGGGTGGCTTCACGGGGGGGGAGCGGAGGGGGGCCCGCCCGCTGTGCTTTGTCCTGCTCTGCTAGCAGCTCCCGTGTTAACCAACGATCATCAAAACAAAGATGGGTTGAAGGTCAACGCGACATCAATTCGCAGGCAACGGCGGCTGTGCGGACGCCATGGGCAACCTGAACCTTCATGTACGACCCGGTCACCGAGTCATTTGGGGGCATGGAGTCGAGGTGTACGACGACTTGCCGCCGGGTGCGTGCGTGTGTAGGAGAGGGGGAGGGATGTGTGGCTGCTGCCACTGCTATAATAGCTGCGATTGTTGTCATTTTTATTGATAATTTTCTGCTCTTTTGCTCTCCCTCGTAACGAAAGCTATGCCGTCCTAACTGAGCTGTCGTTAGGTCTCCGCTGGATGATGCCCTTTTGTTGACTCCCGGCTAATGCCCACATCTGCCAAACTCACTCTTTCATGCAGAGTATGCGGATTTCGCCGGCACGCCGTTGCCTGGAACATCCGCTGTCACGCCAACCGCCGCCGGTACGACAGCCAGTGGTGGTGGTGGTGGCGGCGGCGGCGGCATTGGCGGCGGCGGAGTGCTGTCGGGTATGAAGGAGACGGCCCGCGGCGCGCTCGCGGCCCTGGAATCCGCTCTGACAGGTGATGTGCATGCGCGCGATGCATATATAGTACAACGCAGGTGGTTAATTCAAACCGGATGCCGTACTTCGTTCGTTACGGCCTTTGAAGTTTTGCGAAGTTCGTCGGTTCCCGTCATCACACATGCCCGCCGCCGGGTGTTGAGGTGATCCTGGAGTAAACTTTTCTTTATCCTACCTACAAACGCATGGTGCGGTGCGGTGTGGTTGTCCTCGGCAGGTGGCGGCGGCGTTAGTATCGGCGGCGGCGGCGCCAGCGTAGCTGACGTCAGCGGTACGACGACGACAGCCGGCGGAAGCAGCCCCGCCTCCGGCACCGGTTCTGGTCCCGGATTTACCAACGCAACAGGCTACGGCTTCGAAACCGGCGCTGGCGGCACGTCCTACCCGTCCTTTACACCAGCGCCGCCAGGCGGGGGAAGTACGACAATAGGTGGCGCCGCCAACGCTAACGCCAACGCCCCCGCTGCCAGCCATGACCGGCATGTGGCGCCCGCTGCTAATGATTATAACGTGGTAAACCCCACCGCCTCTACCCCGGTAACAACGGGCAGCAGCGGCTTTGACTTCGCTGCCGTACCGCATATCACGAGCACCGACCTGGCGGCGACGCTGATCGCGGCAGGGCCGGCGGCGGGGGCGGTATCGGCGGCGGCGCTGGGGCTGCCAACGGATGAGGGCGGCAGCATTCCGATCGTGACGCCGGTGGCGCCGCCGGCGGCGGCGCACGGCGGCAGCGGCAGCGGCGTCGACACGATGACGACGACGGCGGGGGCGGTTCCGCCACCGACGGTGACGACGTCCGGTGCGCCCGTTGAGCAGGTATGTAGGTATGTAGATATGAAGGTATGTAGGTATGTAGGTAGGTAGGTTGGTGTGCTTATGCGTGCGTCTGTGTGCGGGGTGGAGCTGCAAGTCATGGCGTCATGGCAACAAGTTCGTGCTGGGGGATCACAGCTGTGATGTCAGGGGGGTACTCTGGGGATCGTACTTCGCATAAATCTTGTAACCCAACGCCGGAAAAAAAAGCCCGGAAGCCAAGAAACACAAAACCATAATTGTAATGGTAATGGTTACGTACGTATGTATGTACTTGTGCATGTACGTATGATGTATGTTTGTGAGCACACACACACACACACACACACACACCGCCTCACCGCCGCACGCTGCGCTTCCCGGCAGCAGCCCGATATCGGCTCCTTCACATCGGGTCCCAGCGCAACCGCCGTTGACACAGCAGCTAGCACTGCCGTACCAACCGAGAACGGCCCCGGCAACAACGGCACTGGAGAAAGCAACGTCGGAGGTACTAGTTTTGGCGGCGGCGGCAGCGGCGGCGGGAGCCGCCGCCGTGGCCCCAGCTTTTTCCGCAAGTGAAGATCACCTGGCGGAGGCGACTCCACGACACCGCGAGACAGCGTCGACGGGCGATTTGATGACCAGCCCATGAGCCAATATGGCTTCCCTGGCTTTTCTACGGTGCTCTGGTCTCCCTCAGTTGCGGTTTGCATTTCAGTTACGGCAGTTGGATTAGTTGGATGACGAGGCGGATGCTGCACCCCATGGACTTCTGACGAGTCCTGACTTAATTGTTGAGACACCGCGCCTTGTATTGTTGTTGTTGAGAGCCGGTTGCCCGAGTTTTAGCGTCCTGTCCAATCGAAAACAGATTATGCATATGGGTTCTTCTTCTTCTTCTTCTTCTTCTTCTTCTCCTTCTCTTCCTTCTTCTCTTCTTCTTTTTCTTTCTTGAAGTGTTAGGTTGGGTTCTTCCTGGGTGGTGCCTGTTGTCGTCCGCACACGCAGATGGGTGTTCTGTCGATGGTGCTGCACCGGGCATCCTTGAATGCGCGGTGTTGAGGCAAGCGTGACACTGTAAGAAGGCATATTGGTGTTCTCGGTACCGGATCGCGTCTATCTGATGGATGGTCTTGAGTCCGGTCTTGCCTGCTCGGACGCAGACGAGACTTGTTGCTCGAAATTTCCTTCCTCCCTCCACAAGTCATGTTCAAAAACCGCCAACACACGGCACATCAAGAAGCCTGCCCGCTATCTCTCAAGGGTCTTACAAAGCACGTATTGCTTTACTATGTGGGTTGCAAGTAATGGCGGTGTTTATGATGTTCTTTGGTGAGGACCAGGAAACGTTATTTCAAGCGTGGAACAGATTTTGGCGGCAATCCAGGGACCCTCCAGAGGGTTGCAAAAGGGGTCTTATCCCCCAATCCTGGGGGTGGGTAGTGGTCAGCCATCCTCCCATCCTGGCAGGGGTGGCCGACTCCCATCTCCCATCTTAAGGGCCGGTGCTAATCCCATCCCTCAAGACAGGTTTCCCATCCTGCCAGCCAGGGTCCCATCCCCAATCCCTTCGGCCAGGGTTTCCAATCCCCATCCTGCAGCTGAGTCTCCCCAATCCTCATCCTGCCAGCCAGGGTCCCTCCCCAAATTGGGGACCCCAATCCCTTCGACCAGGGCCATCCCCATCCTGCAGCTGTGTTCACAACCGAAAGCTGTCAGCCAGGGTCCCGTCCCCATCCCTTGAGCTGGTGCCACAACCCTCATCCTGAGATGCCAGCTACAAACCTACTCCTTACGTTGTGTGAGCAAAATCGACCATGACAACATGCATGTTTGGTACTGGCTTTGGCCACCATTTAAACACTTTCACCAGATGCTGTGAGATGCACCATAAGTAACAGCACACCAAGTAAGCAATATGGACAACTACACCGTTGTATGACGTCTTATCGCAGGAAAAGAACCGATCGGCAGATGCTAGATCCCGTGATATTCAGGATACTTCAATTATCCCCCCTCCAAAGTTGAGGGCGTCCTCGACCGTTCGTCTATCTCGGGGTGTCTGCGAGATGTTAGCATCTACAGGAAACCAATGGCAGCACTCCGAAGAGAGAACTGAACCCGGGTCGGGAACGTGATTCCGAGTCATGATACCAACTTGCTGTATTGCAGGGTATCCTTATTGCAGGAAAAGAAACAATGGACTGATGCTATGTCCTGGTCTACCCGGGATACTACATACACTATCCATCCTTGGTCTGTTGCAGTCCTGTCAGTATTCATCCGCAGCCTCATCTTACTGCAGAACCACCCATCATCCTAATCCTCCAGCTGTGTTCCCAATCCTCACCCTATGGCAGCGAGCCCATCCTAAACCTGCGACAGCCTGCAATCCCCATCCTGTCGACCAGGGTCCCATCCCCGTCCTTGGCCAGGGTTCCCAATCCCATCCTTGGTCCAGGTTTCAATCCCCATCCCTCAGACAGGGATCCCATCCCCATCCTCACCCTGACAGCAATATCCATCCTAAAAGTAGTGTAGCAGTCCTGAACCGTAATCCTTGCCGTGGCCCTTAATCCTGACGTCGTCACCCTATTCCCCACCTGACCAGTACCTGCATCCAATCCCCAATCTTTGCAACCCTCTAATCCGCCCTGCTAACGAGGCAGCAAAGCAACGACGCGCGAGCATAAAAATCGCATGGCACCAAGAACGTCCAGTACAGTTATTATGCCCTTGCGAAAAACTGAAGCACCAACATATCACGACAGTACGGTATGTACTGTACGGTATGACAGTACGGTATGTACGAAATTGACAGCGGAAGTCCCGGGGTGGTCTGGCGCTTTGTTGAGTTCAACACGGTAAACGACTTTTTCCCGTAATTCGCAACAGGTGCACACGTCGTTGCCCTGGCAAATAATACATAAAATCTTCTTGGTACAGGTGTACAGAGTACGGAGTGGGAGTGGAGTACGGAGGTGGTCTTATGCACCTACAATAGAGCGGCATCTTCATTGGGTCGTCCCATTTGTTTGGTTGCAGGACTTGCATTCTGCCAATGTATCTATCCGCACAACAGCGGGGTTCAACCAAACGGGTTGGCAACGCGAACGAACACGGGTTACAACGCAAACAAACGCGATAACTACACAACAGCTGCTTCCACTTGTGTTTTGCGGACAGATTGGCTATTTTTAAGCAGGCTTGCACACTGCTTCGGCGTGGATAAGGCAGGAGTGCGGGACAACTAAACAACCATACAACTACCTTTTTCATCAGTTTCGCCGACGGGTTGATGGGGCTTGCACTGCCGTTGCGCTTACGAGGGGCAGAGGGGACGGAGGCAGCAGGCGACGTATCCCGCATAGGAGGTCGCCATCGCGGCAGACTTGCGGTTACGCAACAGCTGTGCTCGCTGGAATGAAGTCATTCCTCTGTTTCATCCCATGTTGCTGGAGATATGGATTGGTACGCATATTGGAGGCTTCTGTCTCACCCGCCTATGAGTTCAGCTGTACAAAATTACTCTTATCTAATTTTGTGGCCGTACTTTGCGTCATACATTGTTTTATTGCAGGAAAATTTGATTTTTTACCTTCGTAGACGTCCAACCCGCGAACTCGACGCCTCCGTCCCAAATGTCTATTATGCGCTGTGGCATATAAAACATGTCCACTCAAGGGAACGGGCGCGCGTACATGACGATGTACCGCATGGTCGTTGTTGTACTTGGCGGTGCTGTTTCTTCGTGCATGACGTGAAATACTCGGACAGTGTTACAGACCCTTGATGGTAGAACCGCTGGTGGGCACATGGTGTGGAGCTTGACTGTGGCTTGGTTCGTAGGACGCGGTAGCGTGTTCCAGCGCAGGGCTCCCTGGGTGCGATGGCAGCACTCTTGCTGTAGGCTTGGTATAGGGGGCCCTTGGGTACTTGCACCCGAGTTTTTTTAAGTAATATATTACTTAAAAGGAATAAATCGGTATTTTGGCCTTTGGAAAAAAGGAATGAATTGAGCCCGACCCGTACATTTTCATTCCTCCAGCCAAAAACGTCCATTGCTGCCAGATTGCTCCGTAGTGTGCAAAACTTAGGGTTTTCAAGTTATTTTCAAGAGGAAGTGGCTGGACAGCACCAGCAGGGGCCGGTACATGATGAATCGGTAGAGTCCTAGTGTGCTGTGGTTTGCAACGGCAGGTGACGGCCTGTGATTTGCTACGCGGTTGCTTGCTTTGGGCCTTTGCTTGGTCGATTTTACTTATTGCTCGCACAACAGTGCCAGAACTATCTACGCATGTGCACGACGAGTGCACACACGAACGAAAACGCGCCAACTCAGTGCAAGACTCTTGGTCTATGAGGGGAGTTGTAACCATAAAGGGGGGGTCTGGGGGGGGGAGGAGCCCCCCCCAGCGCCTCACACTTAAGGAATAAATTACGACGACCCTAGCAACTTTGTTACTTAAGTTGGAATAAATTGAGACCCACCCTAAACGAAAAAAATTACTGACTTGCACCTGCCCGGCTCCGGCAGCGAGTCTGTGTGCGTTTCAGCTAGCGTCGACCCCTCTTGGACGCTGTCCGAGAGTCCGGGTGCACACTATGCCCTTTCTTTTGTTTGGAGGCATGGGAATTTGTGGAATGTTGTTGCTTGTGAATGCACGGCTCCCTGCTTTTTGGGCGGGGCCCCAGCGCAAAGCGCCCAGGGGGGCCCCGACCTATAGGATTGCCCATGTCCGTGTGTGTGTGTGTGTGTGTGTGTGTGTGTGTGTGTGTGTGTGTGTGTGTAACGGACCAAACATAATATCTCGCCTGGCTGAAACGCGTTATAGGTACTATACAGCATTCTCTATTGCAAGGTATCTCGCATGTAGCCAACAAAAATCGTATGAGCGCAAACAAGTTTGGCTGCCTCAATCGACCGAGGCCAAAGTCACATCAACGCCTCTCGCGCTAAATTTCATCGCAAAAGGTACCGCGTATCTCATATTTGAATTCTTAGATGACGGCGTATGATAACTCGAACTCCCAGGCCTTGAGTGTGTAACGGACCAAACATAATATTTCACCCGGCTGAAACGCGTTATCGGTACTATACAGCATTCTCTATTGCAAGGTATCTCGCATGTAGCTAACAAAGACCGTATGAGCACAAACAAGTTTAGCTGCCTCCATTCACCGACCTCAAAAGTCACATCAACGCCTCTCGCGCTAAAATTCATCCCGAAAGCTGCCGCGTATCTCACAATGGAATTCTGAGATGACGGCGTATGATAACTCGAACACCCAGCTTGTGTTACCATTTGCCGGCATGGGCAATCCGACTTGCCCACCAGCAGGCCAACATAATTTGCTTTCATTTCTCTATGAAATACACAAGCTGCTTGTGTGTACATTTACTTTGGCCAATGCACGGGGCCTCCTGAGACTTGCGGTGTGCCCCGATGAAGCCCGCGGCTGTGGGGCGGATTGCTGAGGCCGCTGGCGCTTCGGGGATAAACATCACAGACAGCACCGAAATTCACCCAGCTTTCGTTACCATTTGCCCGCACGGGCATTCCGACTTGCGGTCTGCCGCACTGTCCATGCGGCATGCACCCGGAATGCCGGTTGCGGCATGCACCCGGAATGCCGGGTCCATTCCGGGTGCATGCCCGGAATGGATGCGATTCGCGTGGAGCCCGCAGGCGGTGCTGACGATTCCGCCGGTGCAAGCTTAGCTCTCACACCATCAGCACTGCTGCAACAAAGCACATCTCCCACCGCGTTGACACTACCCATCAATTGTCACACTTGCCACCCTTGCTACCGGCCTGTACGGATGCAGAGGGGCCCCGCCCTTTTTCCGGCTTCCTTGAAGCCGACACCCAACTTGTCGCTGGGAGTACGTGCCCTTGATTGATCATGAACCGCTAGCATGTGGGTTGGATCATGAACGGCTAGTGATGTGGGTTGGTTCCCTGTCCCCCTTCTCATGACTGCATCCTAAAACTCGTAAGTAAGTAGTGAAATTAAATTATACATTTACATATATAAATAACGTGTCCATATGTTTCGTAGCCATTGTTTGGGGTCGTATGGGGGAAATGATCGGATAAGGGTTCTCCACTTAATAGACGAGACCCCGGGAAGATTATAGTTGGGTAGCCTTTCCAGTTATTGATTAATAAGTCAGCAGGGCTCCGTGACCGTACAAAAAAAGTTCCGGGGGTTCCGTATTGGCCAGCGACATGGACTGGCCATGACTAAACTTGTTGTGCAATACAATATGGAAACTGGTCAGGCAATGTACTTTCATTCATTGAAAGGAAGCGTTGTTTTGCTAAGCGAAGCTGTTGCCGTTCCATCCAACTTGCCCTAGTTTTCTTACCTTCATTTTTGACTTCCTCGTGTCCTTTCACTCACATCTCATAAAGTCAAAGTTTATGCGGTGAAGCCCCAATCCATGTGGTAATTCCAATTTCATGGGATCGTGAAAGACTGACTGCCTTTGCTCAACCAGCGATACCCATTTTTCCTATTAGCCACACGGCATATACACAATTGTGCTGCTGAAGTGCAAACATCTCTAAGCTCCGCATCTACTATCATGGCATCGGGGGGCGTCGCCCACGGTGGCGACGACCCTGTGAGGGCTTGGTTGCGCTCTAACGTGCCGCACGTTGTCCGGGTGAGATCTGATGAGGGGGAAAACATGTTCCCATTCCAACCTTTTACGAGCCTGGATCGCGCCCGTTGGCCGCGACAGGAACTCTTCGCTGGTGGCGCGGCAGGCGCCATCGCCAAGACATGTGTTGCACCTCTGGAACGCACCAAGATTCTGCTCATGGTACGGACTGCCGTGAGGATTATGGATTTCCAAAGTCCAAACCTGGCCAGGTCCTGCGAGTAGCAGGTCCGCGCCAGAGTTTCAAAAATGCTTTTGCCCTTCCGGCAATTTCTTAGTGACCAAGTGGTTACTATGAGGATTTCTTTTGGAAACCACTCTTTTGGTAACTACCTTACATTTTTTGTCCGGGGGCTGCGCCATCGCTCCACCCACCAATTTGCTCCGGCGCCGCGACACATGCTGTCTGTGTTTCGAAACACCCACATCGCGAGGGCTTTCTTAACAACATCCACAACGCGACCGTGTCTGGCGGATCATTTTTCACCCTAAGTATCAAGCCATTACTAGTCCATATCAAATATCGGATTCCTTATAAAGGACAAGCTGTCCGAACAAGGCTCCATGAAACCTACCGACTCTACGTACGGCAACGCGATCCCGAGCTGAACACAGCGACCCATCAAAGCTTTTATCCAAGCGCCAAATCATTATCAGTGGCGGTGGTCGCTCCCGGGGGGTTCCGCGGCCCAATTTCCCGGCGACCACCTGGTCATATAACTGGCAGGTACCTCCAAATATATCCTCGCGAACGCCTTCCGGAAGGGAAGTATTTTCTCCACAAGGGCCGTACGAGATCCAAAGATTGCCTTTCGAAAATCAAAATCAAAATGTGTTGGATCCCTCACGATGTCGCTCCCGGCCCGTCTTTCCTTCCGTCCACGGGACACATTCCCCCGAAACCCGCCCCAGACCGGCCGCTCCAGGACCAGCGCCCTCAGCACCCTACGACTCATTCTCGCCACGGAGGGGGTCCCCGGTCTCTTCCGCGGCAACGGGGCCTCGTGTCTCCGGATCATGCCGTACGCCGCTATCCACTTCAGCGTGTACGAAGCCTATCGTCGAATCCTGGCGGAGCACATGATCGCGTCGGTGGCGGCACCGCCGCCGTCGCTATCCGCCGCCACGATTAGCAGCGGCGGCTGTGCCGCCGCCGCTGCCACCGCGGCCTCCGGAGACATGGTTGATGGCGGCGGGGGCGGGGAGCGGAGGGCCGCGGACCCGCAAGCCGGCGTGTCTGCTAGCGTGTCTCGTCCACCGCCACCGCCGCGGTTGACTTCGGGCGCCTTACCCACGGCAGCAGCTCAGCAGCAGCACCTCGGGGAGGATGTTCCCCCCACCCCCATGACAAGCAGCATCGACGTATCTGCTACTGCCGTGATCACCACTGTTGAGGAGGAACAGCGAGTGGAGGCGCTGCCGGCGGAGGCGTTGCCGCCGCCGCCGCCGCCGCCAGCGCAGTGGCACCGCGGCGCGGGTTCTGCCCAGCAGGAGCGGAATCAGCAGCAGCAGCGGCGGCGGCGGCCAGGACCGATCGTGGACCTCGTGGCGGGCTCGGCCGCCGGCGCAACTGCCGTACTGCTGACTTACCCGCTTGACATGGTGCGGACGCGAATGGCCTGGGCAATGGATGGAGGGTCCAGGAAATCAGCAGCGCTGGCGGCGGCGGCGGCGTCCCCGCCGCCGTTGGCGGCAAACGTGTCCCCAGCGAGCTCTGTCGTCGGGACGCCGCTGACGTCAGCAGTTGCCGTACCGGCGGGTATTTCGAGGAATGCGTCAACAGCGGCGGTTCCTGAAGCACACGGGCTGGCTGCAGCAGCGCGGCAGCCGCCGGCACATCACATCCGGATTGGAGCAATGCTCGTACACACAGCGCGCCATGAGGGCATCCGCGGGCTATACCGCGGCCTTGCGCCGACGCTGTACGGCATCATGCCGTACGCAGGTTTGAAGTTTTTCGTGTACGGCTCTTTGAAGCAATGGTATCGGGAGACGCTGCAGCCGCTACACCCGCCGCAGCCGGCGTTAGCGCCTGGCGCCGGCGCCGGCGGAGGCGGCGTCAGCGTCAGCGAGCGGCTCCCAGTGCCGTACATGTTGGCCTTTGGCGGCGTATCGGGGTTGTTGGCACAAACTGTGACCTACCCGCTGGACGTCGTCCGCCGTCGGATGCAGGTGTACGGCATCCAACAAGAAGCTGCCGCTTCAGCAGTTAGTGCTGCTGGGCAGGGCGCCGCGTCGAGTAGTAGTGGGGCGTCTGTGGCGGCTGCGGCCACAGCATCGCGGCTTACAACATGGGACGTTGGGAGTACGATTGTACGGCAGGAAGGGCTGCGGGGGCTGTTCCGGGGACTGAGCCTGAACTACGTGAAAGTGGTGCCCTCGACGGCCATCGGGTTCACAGTGTACGACATGTTTAAGTCGTACCTTGGGGTCATGGGAAATCTGACATAATGCGTCATCATCTCGTTGCGTTGTTGTGGAGGGGGGAGGTGGAGGGGAAGGAGAACCCGACTAGAGCATTCACATCGTAAGATGCAGGAAGGAGATGCAGGAAAACACCGTCACCATCACCGCCATCACCATTATCACCATTACCGCCTTTACCAGCAATATAAGTAAAACCTCAAGAAGGGTATGTATGTCTAAATGAACTGAGCTAAGGTCAGGAGGAGTGGCATGGGGTGTGGGTAGGTAGTCAGGTAGGTAGGCAGGTAGGTAGGCAGGTAGGTAGGTTGGTGGTAGCTGTGGGTGTGGGTGCGTATGTGCATGTCATATGGCTCATGGCAACATGGGCCAGAGGTTAAGAGAGAGCACCGAAACGAGGTACAAGAGCAGGTGTGTTTGTGTGTGTGTGTGTTTGGGGGAAAAAGGGAGAAAGAGGAGTACATGAATCCTAGCGAGCTGCATCCCATAAGACGGAAGTCTGCCGCCGCAGTGGGGTGAGGTGTGGTACGGCAGGCCACTGGTTACCTGTCTAATCCCCGCCTCCCCCTTCCTCCCACAGCCTCCCCAATATTGCCATCTTTGTCGTCGTCTCGTCGTCGTCATCGCCTTTGGGCAGCCGCGCAAACAACGTTTTCCGAAACGGGCCATTTCATGCCTTGCAGCCCAGCCTATAGCCTCCGCCGCCTTGGGTTTGAGGAATGCGCAACGAGCTTAAACCTTGGAAGATAAATTCGCCGGAGTTTACCTTAGCTTGTCAGCTAGCTTGCATGGATGTCACCAGCGCGCGAATTCCCTTCCTGACGAAAATGTATATAGGTTGCACATGATTTCTGTATGTGGATCGTTTGCAGGTTTGTCGTATTCCTTAAAATCGGGTTTCGGGGGGCGAGGGGAATAGGGGAGAAAAAAAGAGATTTGCTAGCGCTTAATAACACGGTCTTGTGGGTTCCTGACGGCCCCCCCAGGTGCCACCCTGAAGGGGGGGGAGGGGCTTGCAGGGTTCGCATGAGGCCCCCTGTCGCGTAAATGGACGAATGTGTGAGTGAGGACGTCGTTAGGGGCCTGCCGAAGGTAGACTGAGTGTAGGTAGCAATTAGAGGGTAGATTGAGTAGAGATTACTCGTCGCAGTATGGAGTTTGGTGGTAGTTGTGCGATGATGATGAGTATGTGCCTTGTCTCCGTCCCCCCCTTTGCGAGCTTCGACTTCCAACCTCCACGTCACCATGCGATGCGCTTTGGGCGGGGGTTCTGCAGCTATCGGGTCTGCTGCTCTGACCGCGTGGATATCACCACGTATCATCTCCAGTATGCCGTACGCCATCAGACCGGGACACAGATCCAGAGAAGCAGAGATCAAACGGCCAGGAAAGTACGGAAGCAGGCGCGTGTGTACGGCGCGTATGTATACAACAATGAAACGCGTGCGTTTTTCTTAACGCGTGCGTTTTCCTTAAAAATCCAACCAAAAACGCGCTTACAGGCGAGTGGGAATTTGCTTACAGGTCAGACTGCCGCGACCACTGCGTTATACGCATGTGCCCGAATTATTCTTAATAATACAGACAGATAGACAGACAGGCTAGATTCAATTTATGTGAAAAGGCAACGCGCACACACACACACACACGCACACACGCCTCATCAGTATGGGCCTCATCAGTCAGTCCATCGATCAGCCGGCGCGATGGCTACTGAGGATTGATTACCCCGGCCGTAGGGGCCTTAGTCGCCTTTCCCAGGGGGGGTCTTCCTCTGTCTTCCTCGTCTCGGTCTCGTCTCGTTTCGCTGAATGATGCAGTTGTCTTGTGGAACGTGCTCCCACCCCCCACGCAGGATGTCAAAGAAGAGAAGGAAAGAAACCCAAAAGACTTGGCACAACACCGGGGATGGATAGTGATGACCGAAGAGCGGGAAGGGGCAAATCCGAGATTCGATGCCCACTTGCACTCACATGCGTACGTACATACCCCCCTTCACCATTGCCTCTTCACATTTTTCCTGCTAAATATAATAATATTCTAAATGTAGCGCATGTTGACAAGTTCCGCACACACGCACGCGCACTCTTTAGACGTTCGTACAGCGTCAAGAGCACCATAAGAACATCGCGCTCTTAGGGCGCTCTTAGAGCTCCAACAGCTCAACAGTGGTTTTCCTTGGCAGCGACGGCTTATACACAGCCTCCAGCACCAACGTTAGCATCATCATCATCATCATCACCAACCCACCTTCGTTGCTTTCGGCACTTTCCTCGGAACTGTATTTCGATACAAGAAATGGGATATATTTAACGCCTCTCTCTTCCCCTCTCTCCCTCCGCTTCAACCCGCGTCTCATCTCATTTCTTGTTGTCAGCTCCGCCATTAAAAGCTCGCGCTGAGATGGATTGAAGGTTCACGCCCCCGAACGCGGCCCGGGCGTTATGCGTCTGTACGGCCTGTACGACAGTTGCATCTCGATAACTACCCTGAGGTGTCGTACTCTCGGGGTAAATGCCCAGCACATCCCAGCTCCCCCTGCACGCGTGTGAAGTTAACGTCCGGATAAGTGTACATTCCGTTACATTCATGCAAAGTCGGTAAGGTGTTTGGTTAGTTGGCGGTTGGGGTTGGGACAACATTTGGCAAATAGCATTCACACGTCACCCCTGAAGCATTATAACCCAGGAAAGGGCCGAACAGGTACCTGATGTGATGGCAAAAGTCCCACGGCACCCATTGGACGGCACAAATAGAGGAGCTCTCATGATGCGTCCCCCTTCCCCCACACACGCCGAAAGGGGTAAAGCCGTAGCATCATTTGTATGCATCACACACACACACACACACACACACACACACACACACGCAGAAGCTCATACACGCCGAAACACATGCATGCCGGTATACTTCACCCGCTTAGGCTCAGATCCCAAGGCAGACAGGCAGGCTGGTGGTTAGGTAGACAGACAGACAGACAGACAGACAGACAGGCAGGCAGGTAGACAGACAGACAGACAGACAGACAGACAGGCAGACAGACAGGCAGACAGGCAGACAGGCAGACAGGCAGACAGGCAGGCAGACAGACAGACAGACAGACAGACAGACAGACAGACAGACAGACAGACAGACAGACAGACAGACAGACAGACAGACAGACAGACAGACAGACAGACAGACAGACAGACAGACAGACAGACAGACAGACAGACAGGCAGGCAGACAGACAGGCAGACAGGCAGACAGGCAGACAGGCAGGCAGGCAGGCAGGCAGGCAGGCAGGCAGGCAGACAGACAGGCAGGCAGCTCGCCATGACGCGATATCATGCTGCGCCACTCACATGCCCCACAGGAAGCAGTGGGATACGAAGTAGGTGGGCCCGCCGCCCTGAGCCAACCAGTCCATGGTCTTCCGGAAAAAGGAGTGCAGGAAGCTCTTCATCTGCCGGGGGAAACGACGACATGTTTGCATGTGTGTCTTAATGATCTGAGCGTGTATGTACGTGTGCGTGTGCTAGGGAGAGCGGAGCTAGCGGACCTGCGGCTCTCAGCTGCTTAGGAGGGACAGAGGCCCGTCACGTCCGCGGGAGAGCTCTTAAGCGGTCTTTCCGTCGGGGTTGGGCCGCAGCCCCTGGCCAGTGTCAGGCCCGGTCAGATTCTTGTAACCTTCACACACACGCGCACAGACCGATAGAACGCCCCTCCAATGACGGAGTGCTTCGGCGGTCTCAGCCACGGGCCGGGTATCGTCCCCCGGCCTTAGAGGTCCAGTAAGGCATGTACACACACATACACACATACATACGCACACATGCACACACACATACACACATACATACACACACATGCACACACACATACACACATGCACACATACATGCACACAAATGCACACATACACACACACATACATACACACACGCACCTGCGGTGGGCCCCACGGGTCTGTGCTGCCGCGGTACGCGCCCCACACCCCGTAGAACGGCATGCGGGCAGCTTGCTCGGGTGAACGGGCCGGCACCGTGCCGAGGGGGCTGGCACCGCCACCCATGCCGAACTCCGAGTAGTGCAAGTCGATACGACGGCGCCGGAGAATGGCCGCAGCGTCCAGTCCGACATCGTTGCGCATCTCCTGCAGGGTATTTTGTACGGATTTGCACGACGGATGTACGACAAGAGGCGGAGTACGTCGCACGACGGCACCGTGGTCATGTATCGTGGCAGTCAATTAGGCTACTTCCCCGTTCTCACCCCGCTGATAAAGCTTTTTCTTACGCCGTATGGGATACGCACATCCCATATCGTACCATACAGTACCGTACAGTACCATACAGTACTTGTTGAAGGGTTGATGAGGGAGATATGCTGTGCCACAAGGCAATTCAAAAGGCAAAATTTGCGTCGTGACAAGATTTGCTGCTGTCGTACCTCCGTCCGTCCGAGTTACCCCGGCATACGCTGACGACTCACCCCGAAGAAGGTGAAGGCGGCGTTCTGTAAGGCCTGTACGGCAGGGTTGTGAAGTGGCAGAAACAGATGTGGTCATGAAGTGACGCAGCCGAGGGCATATGTTCTTTCAGAGTACTACACGCCCTCAGAAATTTCAGATTTGGATTTTAATTGAATGGCTAAAAACAAATCCTAAATCCTGGTAAAAGGGATACGAAAACAACTGTGGACATCCCTCGCTTATATTTTTTAAGGGATTTTAACTGGGTCTGCCCGCTGCTCCTGCTCGCCCGCACGCCCCTACTCCCGTGCTTCCCGCCCTGCTCCCGCCCCCTTCCCCCTTTCAGACATTCATACAAGCCTAGTCCCTATCACACTCCTGTCTCAAACAGCGACCCCCCCTTCCATTTTCCTTCGTTTAGAGGTTCCGACGGGTGGATAAATAAACAAACATACCTACGTGCATACATAGAAATTACTATGTGTAGACGGAGGCACAGCAACCTGCTTCTCCCATCCTCCGCTTTTCCCCTGCTCCCTCCTTCCTGTATTCCTTCCTTCCTTCCATACACATCTCCCGCCCTCATCAAAACCTCTCCGCGGGTCGCAACCCTGCAAGACAGTTGCTAACCAAAGTGAAAGTAACCGTCAACCCAACTAACTGACTAACCGTCATGGGGAAGTTGGGATCGTCCAAAGCGGCGTAGGCGCTTATGCCCAGAAAATCAATCTTCTCAAACAGGTCCTGGGGGGGTGGGGGGATTAGCAGATTTGGGACGGAATAGGATCCCGCGAGGGCTAAAAGAAAAGCTGGCTTGGGGTTGGAATGATATGGGTTGAGGTGTGGGAGAGGGAAAGGAGCCGGGAGAGGGAGCTCAGAGACTGCTAACTGCCAGCAGCTGCAGCAAAAGCCAGCAACCCATCCAGGGATTACGAACGTCCGCGACATGTTATTCCGAACTTTGATTTTGTATATTATTATTATTATTATTATTATTATTATTATTATTATTATTATTATTATTATTATTATTATTATTATTATTATTATTATTATTATTATTATTATTATTATTATTATTATTATTATTATTATTATTATTATTATTATTATTATTATTAATTATTATTATTCACCTGAAGCGCCCGAAGGTCAAATGAGGCGGCTGCCGCCTGGCGCAGCCCGCGACCCGTCATTGCCGACGTAACGGCAGATCCGAACGGTCCAAAGCCCACGAAGCGAGACAGTACGGAAGCCGCGCTGCCGCCACCTGCGCCGCCGCCTGTATTCACCTGAGTAACCTTGTTAAAGTTGAAAGAAACGCCCACCTAGACGGACGCATGGGAGGGAGGTTACAGTCGCGAGGAAGAGTGGTTTTTCAGTTGTTTTTAACCGCCATGCAGTTTTCGGTTGGCGGTTTTTAGCATGGTTGAGTACGCGGGATAACAAATGTACCACAATATTATATTAAAACAACATCGGCCACAGCCACAGCCAGTTGTCCTGTGCGACGGCTGTGACTTTCGGGTACGGCAGATAGATACAGCAGAGGCCTGCGAGAACGTGCCTGGGTGAGGCCCCGTTGAACCTTAATGTACGAATCCGGAGCACCCGCTCGTCGCATGCCCATCAGAAGCCGCTCCCGCATCTCTTCGACCTGTACGGCAGAAGTGCGAGCGTGTACAATCCACAACACCTGAATGGTTCCTGGGGACTCAGAGAGCGCAACCTTCACCTCGCTGCCCTCGGGGCCTTATGTCCGGGGAGCTTATCCCCCTAAAGCCCTAAAGCCAATTAGTAGTTATAGTAACTATAATATACTAGAGTGTATATAGTAACTATAATTACTTATAATACAATAATTATCGGGGGAAGACTGATGTCCCCCTCGTGTAAATCCTACGTATAAACACCCACATACCAGCACGAAGGCCAACTTCCAACCCCCACCTACAGTCCTCTTTTCAGCTCCGTACGACTTAGCACCTTAAAACCCTACCTCCCCTGAACCCACACCCTCCAAGCCCATACCCCAAACCTATCTTACACCCCTACACGAGCTGCATTCAGACACGACCTCCTACCCAAGTTCGCCACGAGTAGGGAAGGGCCTAGCGTTGGCGAATGCGCCATCCAGATACACGTCCAATATGTTATCCGTACAATCGAAATCCCCCCAGCAACCCCTCCGTACACCCAACTACATCCGTACATCGCAGTACGGCACGTTTATACGACAGACACTTTCCCCCACTCACGAGCTGCAGGTACTCCCGGGGGTGGTACAGCACGGTGGCGCTCATCTCGCCCTGCAGTGCTATCCACACCGGCAGGGGATCGACCCAGGCGGGTTTGGCGGCCAGGGCGGCGGCCAGAGCATCCACGGTGGGGTTGAGCATCACCTGGGGTTTGGGGGAGTGGGTTGGGGTTGCGGATTGGGGGATGTAAAAATTGGTCACAAAGCACATCATCTTGTACAACGGTGGAGGCTTCCCAGTGGGAACAATAACTTCTTCTTCATCACCGTTAAGGTTTAAATTTGTCCACTTCAACGTGGGGATTCCGCCGCCGTCAGGGCTACACACACGCGTTATCGGGATCAGCTGCGGGCTGCCATCTTGAATGGAAAGGATGCCAGCTGACGGCAAGGTGGTGTTCGTGTTAGTTAATGCCTTAAGATAAAATGTACACATAAAATAGGACTGTAAACCTAAGGGCAATGAAAAACCAAAACCACAGCGTATCACTCGACCGCCTCTGCCTCTGCCGTACGGACCTCCTGGTACGAGAAGCCGCCGTACTTTTGCTTGGGATTGAAGAGCAGCCCGTTGCGCCACGCCGCCGTCCTGCAATTTTAGTTGGTTGGTTGGTTGGTTGGTTGGTTGGTTGGTTATGCGCGTTAGCATGGTGCGTAGATGTGCGTGGATGCGGTAATGATTGATTTTGAAGGGAATAGTTTCGCAACGACAAAACGCTAAGGAAACAGTGCTTGTATCGTACACGGCACGCAGACGTGTGAGAGGCCTTATGTGTGACATGATTGGATACCGGTGAAGGCATACGGCTGGGCGGCGTCGTACTGGCGGCAGGTAGCGTTAACCAGCGCAGGCTGTACGATGTTGCACAACTGTGGCAAGTCATGATTTTCATGTAGGACTAAAGTTATAGATAACGGAAATCTCATGGTACCAGCGGAGCCCAAACACACGGGCACTTAGGAGGGCATAAAGCAATTGCCACCTAACAGGTGCAAATTGAATTCGTATCCTTTTCTTTGTATTATAAAAGCTGTGTTTAGCGCCAGATGTGCCACTCGCCTGCCTCCATCATCCAGGTGCGGCACAATGCTGATGCCCAATCCCTCCTCAATCGCCCGCCGGAAGCACAACTCCATGCCCGCCTTGAAGCTCGCAATCGACGCCTCGTTTACACTGATGCATTCCATGTTGCTGCACCAGAAGGAAATATCGTCCCAGAAATCATCACCCCAGATCGCCGGATCCAGAGTACGTGCCGTGTCGTCATGTGTCGTACCGTCGTGCCATCGTGTACCGCACCGTCATGTGTCGTGCAGCAACGTCATGGCGTGTACCGGCCCGCGTCGCATTGCATTATTACATGTGTTTCATGGTTTCGTACGGAATAAATGAGAAAGGGGGATGGATGGCGATTCCCGGGGGTTTGGGCCGGGGTGGGGGAGAGGGGAGGGGGGGGGTTTGACAGTGGAGCAGCTGGGTTGTTTTTCGGAGGTAGAGAGATGGAAATGCAAAACGGGTGTTGATGTGATAGTGAGGGGCGCGGGGAGAAATAAATCTGGCGGACGAAGCACCGCATCGGCGCGGATTTAGTGGGCGACGACGGCGTCACAATGTACGGAGACGGGGCGCACCAAGGCGGATTATAAATGCTCCGGAGGACACCCTTAGGGTAGTAATCCTTAGGGATTTTACTGCAAAAATCCTGGCAACTCATGCAACTGGTTCATTAGCCGCCTAAGGGAAGGGATAGGATTCTTGTGTTGTCCGTAGCACTATGTATAGACTTTCCTCCGAATTCCTTTGCACCCATGGTGTTAAAACCCCTTTTCCCCGGCCTTTTCTCCGCTCTTTTTTCCCGCCCTTCTCCCCGCCCTTTATCCCGTCCTTTATCCAGCTCAACGACGGAAAAGCGTGCAGTACAAGCGTGCAGTACAAGCGTGCAGTACAAGGCCTGTGTACAGTTCCCCCGTGACAGCTTTCAGTATGTACCCGTTCATGAAGCAGTAGCTATCAACGCCGCCGTCGCTGTTGAAATCCCTCCAGTAATGGGTCGGTACGAAGTTAATGCGCGTGCCGCCAGCTGCCTTCTTGCCGCGGTCGACCATGTCCGTACACCGCGACGTGAACGGCGGAGCTCGTTGGTACGGCATCCAATCAAATTGGCCGAGCACCATCACCGAGGGGTTGAGCTCAACGGGCATACCCTGGACATGTGCGCCGCCGGGAGCGGCGCCGCTAGGCCCGGCGGCCAGAAGTACGACGGCGCCGACGAGCAGCGACACCGCGGCAAGCACTGCCGTCGCCGACGCTGCCAGAGTATGCAACTTGCCACCGCGCCGCCACCCTGGGATCATACAATAAAGATGCGGGTCGTACATGATCGTACTTTGTCAGTTTGGGGGAACTGGCAATTATGTGGGTTGCTGTTGTGATGCACGTGTGTCTGATAAAACCAACCCCCGACAAGCAGTGTACGACAAGCATCCAAGTGCAAATTATTTAAGCATATTAGGCATCCAATAACGAGTACACTATAAAAAAATTTCATTTTGTTTATTGGCACCTGGAAATACACCGTTGCAGAGGATGCGGAAGCACATGTGCTCGCTCAGTCATACCATGCACGGCAAAACACTTCTGATCAATCACCTCCCCCACCCCTGTCCGCCATTTCAGTATTTAAACTCCAACTAAAAAAGATGTGTCCGTCTCTTGGTTCGCGTGCGTCTCTCCCCTTTCCTTCCCCTCCTTTTCCCTCTCCTTCCGTCCTCTTCTCTTTCCTTCCCTTCCCCTCCTGCTTTCCCTTCCCCTCCTGCTTTCCCTTCCCCTCCTGCCAGCCCCTCAAGCCCTTGATCGTCTGCGCACCTCGCGGAACGGCCCTTAGTCGTTCCTGTTGCTGCCGCTGTTTCCCTCCTGAACCCCCGGACTTAGAGTCCAAGCCGGCGCTAGCGCCACCTGCGGCGGTCGCAGCTGTGTCGGCTGCTCCTTGCGGGCTGTCGTGAGCTGCTGCCGCTACTACTGCCGCAGTCGGCTGACGGCGTCGCAGCGATGGTCGCAGCGATGCAAGCTGCCACACCATTATATACCTTACGCGCCTGATATCCGGCTGATAAGACCCTCAAGCGGGAGAGGATTGTTTGATACCGTCTTTGTTACTATGACTCTGGGTGCTAACTGTACCTCTGTTATTAGGCGTCCCTCCGGTCAAGGAAGGAACGGACGGGAAAGAGGGGGTGGTTGAGGGGAGGACGACGAAGGAAACAACGAAGAGGACGCAGACGAGGAAGAAGTAGAAGTAGTACTAGTAGAGAAACAGCTGTTGAAGTGGAAGGCGAAGGAGAAGTGGGAAGGAAACCGACTCAAGCGGCAGCGCTGCGACTACTAGCTGACACTTGGCTGCTGCGAGCTACCCCCTGTTGCCGTTCTTGCTGGTAAAACTGATGGGCGCGCTGCTCTCTTGGTGGTGATTGTGGGGTGGTCCTTGAGATGTGGAGACGTCTCCAACGTGGCGATGTATGTATGTAAGTATCTCGCAGGGGCTGTCCACAAACGCGCACAGGTGTGGGTGTTTTGGATCGAACTGAAGAATGGGAGAGTGGGAGTCTGGTGTCTTGGATGGTTGGGTCGGAGGGTCTCGGGCAGCGAGGATATGTGTGGTCTTCACTTCCCGCCGAGGGTACCCCCTGAGGAAGTTAACGGCCCTCACCGTCAGGAAACCCTATTCACCTTAGGAAGATGAATTCGGCTCCTTTTATAGCTTATAGCTTTCTTCCACCAGTGTTCTCTCTCTCTCCCTTTTCTCTCTCCCCGTGCCTCTCCCTCTCTCTTACATAGCACTCATGTGGCTTCCTCTCTCTCCCTGTCGCCCTTGACGATAGCGGTTAGTGGTTCGTTTGGTGAATGAATGATTGGCGATTAGGATGGATGGATGGGCGGATGTCTAATTTTGGGCGGGCGGATGGATAGATGACGGAAACCAGAGTGACAGATGGGCTCAGAGGGGAGAAAGCAGCGCGTGATAGAGTGGATGCATGAGCGAGGAGGACACAGCACGGCCAAACCAACCACCAACGCCGGAGCGGATTCTCGCACACCAGCTGGCGGGCTGCTGATGCAACAAGAACCCATCAATCAAAACATATTTCCCAACGTTGGAGAGCGACGGCAAGCTGTCAAAGGGAGGCAGAGGAGGTGTGCGTGATGTGTGGTTTCGGGGCGGCCTGTATCCATTGGCGCATGTCGTTCGCGTCGCATGGGAGGGCGAGGCCGGCGAGAGCTGGGACGAGGCCTCAGACGCTGGCCTCACGACTTTGATAAAAGTTCACAACGCAGCTGTAACTAACTAAGGAAGAAGGGAAATGGTCAGGGAAACGCCTCTCACACTTTCGGTGAGAGGACCGAACCATGGGTCGCTGGCTCACTCTATGTCGCTTGGCAGGATGCGAGAGGAATTTCATTTCTCCACCCAGCTACCTATGAGGGTCGTGTGACCCGTGTTACGGCATGCACACTTAGAATACCCGTTTTTCTTGGAGGCGTGGGATCTAGCGTTCCGTCCTTGTGGCACGGCGAACAGTAGCGATGCATATACTGCTGAAAGGTCTTTGGACTGAATATTGACTGCGGCGATACCGCTCGTCATACGACGCCGATGGCTGGGCTACATGCGATATTGCCATGCCTTTGCACTGTAGAAGTGGGGTCTCCATCTCTTATCGAAGGTTACTGTGAATGCTCTTACCTCCCTGCTGGTTACGGTAATCCAAACGGATCACGAGTGAATGCCGCACCAAAGCACAACTGCCTCAGGAATCTGTTACAGCCCCCGCAGCCCCGCCTATCCTAGAGTCGTTTAGGTGGTAAAGTGATTGGTTGCAGGTTGGTGCTTTGCGGGCCGTTTGCCGCAACTACCGGCTCGTTATGGAAAGGGGTGAGACCACCATGAGACCCCTCCGAGATGTCAACGCCAACCGTCGCAAATTGTTGCAAATGGAAGCTTGCACATAAAAGCATTAATTTTTCGCGAGTGAGATGCGTACTTTTGGAAATTGATCTGACCCCGACGGCAGCCATCTATCAAAGTTAAGGAGGCAACACCGCAATGGCAAATGGCATGACATAATATGAATTATGTTAATCATGGAAAACAATTTGGACAACTTCTGTTGGAAGTCAAGTCACAAGGCATCTGTTAAACCATGACCCTGAAGCAAGGAACGAAAACCAAATGGACTTTGGACCCTCTAATACAAATTAAGGCAAGAAGAATGTGAATATGAGGCGGAGGTCTGACCCGTGTCGTGACCGAGGTCGCCCGCGTGGTAACTGGCACACTAATTCCCTCTCTAGAACACCCAAGGCACCCAGCAGGAGACGTACACCCATGCTTTCCTTCGGCACCCTTTGCCTGTTTCGTGCGCCAAGCTGATCTTTCATGTTGTTGTTAAGGAAGCACGGATTGCTGGGAGGTTTGGAGTCATTATGGCTCCAGCACGGGGTCTGACACCGTGGGAGAAAGGGAGAGACCTATAACACCCAACGTATTCATTCGCCTCGGTCAGAATCCGCTGCACCGCTGCATATAAATCTACATCCGCCAGCACCATGTCCCCAGCCAGCTATCCTGCCTGCCCCGGCGCTATGGCGCCGTTGCTGACACCGGGGATCCCACCACCCAACGCCAGCCCTGCTGCCGCGGCCGGCACTGCAGCCAGCTGTCCCGCCTGCACCGGCACTATGGCGCCGTTGCTGACACCGGGGACCCCACCACCCAACGCCAGCGCTGCTGCCGCGGCCGGCACCATGTCCCCAGCCGGACAACGCTGCTTGTCACAGCGAAGCTCGATCTGCACCATGTTTTCTGCTGGCATCGAAGCACCAGCATGCTCAGAGACAGGTGCATCCCCAGCGGCCGAACCACTGGACTTCGGAAAGCCATTGTCAGGATTAAAAGGGTGGCGAAATATTTAGTCCGACCCCTTTCTGTTTCTATTGACTGTCTCCTTAAGGTCCCATGACCGTACATCAGGCTTGCAAGGCGTCTCACCCCTTTACGTATATTACTGATATCACAGTGATGGCTACCCATCTGCGGCTGTATGAGCTAGCAGAAAACGACATGACCCGGATGAGAACGCCCAGTGACAGCCCAAATGGGTTACTACACAAACCGCGGATGCCGGGCGTGGCGCTCAGGAGCCACAATTACACTTTAGGTTCAACATATGCGGGTGCGTAAGGAAGACAACATTAGTATTCCCGGTATTATTTCGTGCTACCTATATCGCTAAGCTCCCGCTGCAGAAGGGTCACAGCAAAAGTGTTAAAGCACAAAGGACATCGCGCGCAGGAAACGCGCCGCAGGAGGGGTGCCCTAGCCAAGCTGCTGACAACAGTAGCACCCATCCGGGCGAGAAAACAATGTCCGTCATCTTGCCACGGTATCATTGCCACGGTATCAGCAGTGAACAACACTACTATCCAATCGCCCAGAAACTAAATCTAAAACTTCCGTAATAATATTCTTAACACCTAAATTATGTCAAAGGAACGAGGCGCTGGAGGCCGTACGGATATTCTCAGGAGGCCTCCTGGCCCCTATCACATGGGGCCATGACACGTTGAGACCCCAGACAGCTGTTGTATAGTTTGAACCTTATAGAATTCATGTCTAGAACATCAAATCAGTTAATTCTATAATAGTTTCAAACATTTCGCTCTATCCCACACTGTGTAGGAAGGTTAAGGTCTTTGCCTGCGGCGTTGCCTACCCATCATGGAAAGCGTGCCAAATGCCATTGTAAAGGAAGTCTCTGCAGGTGGTGTCTTGCATTATATGAGCAATTCGACAGACCTGGACAGTCCAAGCAGTCCTCTCTCCCCAGTCCGCACGCTGCCGCACAGACTCAGCGACCCTGACCCCCTGGATAAACTGCTTAAGAAGAACAGGTATGTCAGAGTGACGGCCTGGGCCAGGATTAGGTCAGGAAGGTTCTGTTCCGTCGAATGGGTTACGAATTCATACGAAACTGGCCTTGCAGGGCTTGGTCCGCGGCAAGGATTGCAGAAGACCCTCAGTATTTTAACAGGCTTTGCACACAGCAAGCACCCGAGTATCTGTGGATTGGTTGCAGTGACTCCCGTGTACCGGTGAGGGCGGGGGGAAGAAGAGCATGGGCTGCGCTTCCCTTGTTTGCGGCGCCATGCCCAGCCAGATGCGTGCAGTCCTTTTCTTCCTATGTAGTTTGGCGTCACACGAGCTCGAAATCTCGTTGATTGACGGCTGAAGTCTAGCTAGTTTGCGCCGCATGTCCTCCAGCCAGACGTGGAATATGAGACAGTCTTCAAGCTTGCTCGCTCCCTAGCTGCTACATCATGTTGACTTAAACTTCTTGAATCTTAAGGCACAGAGAGCACTTGGATAGCGTTGGTGGCTCCTACGCTTCCCACATACGTCCCGCCAGCAACATCTAGCTGCCAGCGACCACATATGATGGCTCTGGTACCCTTCTGTCACAGCATCTTATATAATAGCTCCCATCAGCAAGGTATGGCGTTTCCGGGCCCGTTACGTAAGCGGTAGTTGCACGTGCTGATGCAGGCCAACGCCATCCTTGGCCTGGAACCCGGCGAGGTCTTCGTGCAACGCAATGTCGGCAACCAGGCCACACACACCGATCTTAACTGCATGAGCTGCCTGGAATACGCAGTCAAGGAATTAAAGGTAATTCGACAGGGTGCTTGTGAATGCGTTGCGATGGTTTTTGCAGTGCAAAGACCACGCAAGCGAATGTTAGCGGGTCTAAGCGCAACTTTATGCTAGACACGGCTGTCAAACTGATCAACGTCTTTATTACCGCGATTGCCTTGTTTAAAATCGCAGATCTGTTTTGGGTTTTTTTGTTCATACAAAAAGATGCGAAGCCCCGCCCCGGACATGCCAAAAACGGCGGCAGCTTGCAAGAATGCTTGGTGAAATCTCCACCAAGCTCTCCTCCATGCCCTTCCCCTTGTTGATGGCACTGGCCGCTATCCCCCTTCCCAGTCGTCGCCGTCCCTCTGTCTGTATGTCTGCCGCCGCAACACCGCGCAAGACGCCGAGCCGGCTCTCCAGGAGTTTCACCTGCTGCCACCCACGTGCCCCACCCACTCTACGCACCGATTCGCAGGTCCGCAACATTATTTTGTGTGGCCACTACGGGTGCGGAGCCGTAAAGGCGGCCCTGAAGATGCCTTCCAAGACCCATAACCTCGTGAACTGCTGGATTTCGGGTGCGCCAGGGAGGAAGAGGAGGGGGAAAGTTGGGGGGCGGGGGAAAGGAGGGGGAGGACTGGGGGGGGAATGTAATTGTGCTGTCTCAGGTGTGGTATGCTGTCTCGCCTTGTGCTGTCGTAAATGTTTTTCCTTTTCTTTTTTCTCTCGTCCCGTGCTGTCCTGTGTCCTATTCGCTTGACGCGGTCATGGGGTTATGGGTTTTGACTCTGACGACGAGGATGATGATGCAGAGGACAAAGATGGTGATTATGGCGGTAATGGCGGCCATTCATGCTGTGTAGTGATGTATGTGTTATGCTAATGTTTTATTACAGACGATGCCATATCGTTGTGTTGTAATCCTTCAGTGGGCATATTTACCCAATGTGTGTTCCGTGCGTGCGTGTGTTCTGAGGGAAATGGGATAAACGGCTTCCTTGGTTTCCCTCCATCCCCAGTTTTCACACTTGCCCTTCACGCCCTCAGCCGATTCAACACGCAAAAAACTGCGCTCCCTTCCCCTCCTCACCCCGACGACCTCCCGGCACGGTCCTGCGCAAATGTATTCATACCCAATCACACATTTTCTTTCCCCTCCCCCCCCCCACACACACGCATACGCAGACATTCGCGAGTGCCGCAACCAGCACCGAGCTGAGCTGATGGCGCTTCCCAACCTGGAGGCGCAGACGGACAGGTGGGTGAGCTGGAGATGAAAGAGCTGGTTGCGGTGGGGGGGATGAGATGCACGGGCAGGGTGCACAACCTCGCACTGTTCGCACGTAACTCACCTTGCTTGGAAAGCAACGTGATATACATACATGATGTCTTCCCTCTTAGTACACTTGTGCACATGTCCCCAACTCCGAGTGGGTGTTGATTTTGACGACGTATTTATTGCATTTGTGAATCCGGTGGTGAGCTGGTGAGGCCGGTGGTGAATCCGGAGGCTGGTGATTGTGACAGTCTCACATGCATGTGCATATCCGCTTTCGCCCAAACCCTCAGTACAACAGCATCAGTACAACAGCAGCAACAACCCAACGTTCTCACCACCTCACCTCCTCCCCCCCCTCTTCCTGCCCCCACGGGCCCCGCCATCAGGCTGTGCGAGCTCAACGTGTTGCGTCAGACGTTCAATGTGTGCACCGGACCCGTGGTGCAGTCCGCCTGGGATAAGGGCCAGTCCCTGCACATTTACGGAGTGGTGAGAATGCGGTTTATGTATGTATATATGTATATATGTATGTAATTTATGTATGTATGTACGTATGCCTAGCTACCTACCTGGGCCCCCTGCTTGCCCGCCTGCCCGTGGATCTCCGAATTCGATCTCTGCGTCCTGCAAGCAACCTACCGCCCTTGCGTTTCCCCGTTCGCTGCTCCCACTGCCCATCTCACCCCCCCTGTAACCGCCCTCCTCATGCAGGTCTACTCCCTGAAGGACGGACTCATCAAGAAGCTCGTGGGCCCCATCTCCAAGAACGGTGAGTGGCTGGGGCCACCTGTTGTACGTGCGTGCGTGGTTGGTTGGGTGTTGGGCGGCCGGGGCCGGGGCCGGGGCCGTGTGTGAGAGAGAGGGATGGGAGGGGCAACTGCTGCTGAGACTGATGCATGCGTGCGTGCGTGTGCGTCTGTGTCTTGCGGGAGGGACAGCGCGCGTGGTTATATGTAGTAAAATCGTTAATGAAATAAGGGATGATAAATCCCCCGCTCCCTTTGCTGTCATCGTCCTTCGCGAGCTCCTCCACTCATCATATTTGTCACCTCCTGTTATCCCACCATCGCCAACCTTTTGCCCACGCCTCTTTCATGGCAGGTGACTTTGCACACGACCAGACGACGTTTGCTGAGCTGGGCAGCACTTACGTTGGGTACCAAGGTAAGTTGACCTTTTCCACATCTTGTTTTACATTTTTTACTCGCTCCACCGTGTATTAGTTGCTGTTGTCAATCCCATTTTGTCATAACATATACACACTCTGTTGTGATAAGTGTTGAAATATAACTATTGTCGTTGTCGTTCCGGCTGCTGTCTGAACACATATTTGCTTCTTGGGTCTGCCATGGGATGGGGTGCTACTTACCGCACGATGATGATGGCGGTTATGGTGGTGGTGTTATCTGCGGGGCATCAGGGACCTCAGGCCCCAGAAGTAAGGTTTCTAATGCTACAGGGACGATTATTCTGTTTTTTTTAAGAAGCAGCAATACACACACACTCGCACCCACACAAGGCTGATGAGCTGTGATGGAGGTCTCCCGTCAGCCATCCCAGATAGACAGGCAGGCAGGCAGGAAAGCAAGCCGCTGTCTCTTTTTTACTCAGTGGAGACCAACTTACCTACCGGCCTTCCTTGCCTTCCCCCTCCCTTTACCCCGCTTCTTCCTTGACCTCGACGTTCTTCCCGCTCGGCCTCACCGCGGCTTGTCCACATGCTGTTTAGCCCCTTTGAGCCGCTTCCCGCCCAACCTCCCTCAATCCGCTGCTTTCCTTGTCGTTGCTGTTGCAGATATAGATGGAGGCCGTACAGAAGCGGAACGCGGTGAGTGACTGAGTGGTTAGGACGGGGATCCGGGAACTAACGATCGAGAAGGAGGTTGTGAGATAACGGACACACAGATACATACACGCGGCTGATGTGGGGCTGGTACCGGTGGTCGTACGTACCTACACATGTATGGCCACCCGAATAGGATGATGTATTAACACTTTCGTGTTTAGAACACACCCGTTAATCTGAGTTCGAATTGCGTGACTGCTCCATGACTGCAAGAATAAATCTTCATCAAATCAAGCAATAAATTCTGAGGGGGATGATGGGAGCACTTCTGGGGTCTTTTACGGATCCGACCCGATCGCCGATAGATGCTGGTTGCCCACAACCCGATCCGGCTGCCGTAGTTTTTTGACGAAGTTGATGTGTCCTTTTCCTTACCAAAACGGGCGATAAAATATGCTCGAGAATATATCAATAATGACTTGCATGCTACAGGACATACAGCGGAAGAAGTTCGGCGATGCGCCCTCCTGGTCAGGGCCCAATCCCGCACTGTTTTACCCATACAAACGGTTGTCCCTTCCGGTTCTCGCTCCTCCCCGCCCACCACTTCCCTTCTCCCGTGCACAGCAGCTTCACCTGTGTGCGAGTCTTACAAGTCCCGTATGGACGCATTTAACGCCTACATGAACACCGTGGAGGTAGGTACCGTGTGCAGTGTACCAGGTCTGTATGGAAGGCGGGTGTTGTAACGCTTAAGCGCATCTGCATGTACGTACGTATATATATATGTTTCCGTATATGTGACACTTGCGTATTGCAGTGTGGGTATGCAGCGCATGCGTTTACATATGCAATCCTATTATGGGCCAGAACACTACGAGGGGTGCATGCACTCACAGACAGACAAGCAGACGGTGATTTAACTGGGGTTGAACGTCGGGTCCATCTCACCGTCCTGCTCCTCACCGCCCTCCTCCCTCCCTCTCTTCTGCCGCTCACTAGGTAAACAATCGCATCGCCCAGCATGTGGGATGGAGCGACGACATGAGCGCAGCTGCCGCCAAGTCGGCCGCCGCGGCTGCTGCTGCCGCTGCCGCCGCCACCGCCGCTGATGCCGGCGCCGACGCAGAGGCCGTCTGAGCCCTTGACCGCGTTCCACATGGCGGCGTGCCGCGCCGTCAGCCGCTCCCTTTACGCCTCCAGTTTTCCAGCATTCATGCCTCGGTGCGCTTACTTAAGACAGGGGACTTACCTCTCCAGAGACTTTGCACAACCCAGGTCTCGGCAAACAGATTTTCCTTCGGCTTACAGATTTTACTGTTTCCGAGGAATCCATGAATGATTTTGCCGCATCGGGCAAGGCCTGCATGTGAGGTAACATGAAGGTTTGGTAGCCGCTTAATGACTTTACACGTACTGCTCCCCTGGCACCCCGCTGCCGCTATTGCTCTCTGTTGCTGCAGCTGTAGCAATAAAGCGGCAGCAGCCGCAAAAGCGACCCAACAGAGAGCAACCTTCATGTTACCTCACATGCAGGCCTTGCCCGATGCGGCAAAATCTTTTATGGATTCCTCGGAAACAGTAAAAGCTGTAAGCCGAAGGAAAATCTGTTTGCCGAGACCTGGATTGTGCAAAGTCTCTGGAGAGGTAAGTCCCCTGTCTTAAGTAAACGCACCGAGGCATGAATGCTGGAAAACTGGAGGCGTAAAGGGAGCTCTCTGTTGGGTCGCTTTTGCGGCTGCTGCCGCTTTATTGCTACAGCTGCAGCAAGTCGCCACGATCGTCCTGGAGGTTCCAATAGTGGGGATTATAAGACGTTAATGCGTGTTCGCGATTCTTTATGTCCGTGTGTGTCTGTATGTCGCCCCGCTGTACGTGTATTTCCTGTCTCAGTGATGGGGTCGCGGCGTGCTGTCAGGTTGCCGGCTGATAGCTCCGAATCGGATTGTATGAAGACGCAAAGGAACCCATAAAAATGCTAAAGGCTGGTAGGTCGCGGGCAGTCGGTTGGGGGTGGGTTGAAAGGGTTTAGGCTATCGCTACCACAACCACTGCTAGTATGCTACTGCCGAGCTACAGCTGCTGCTACTCGACATGGCTATCGAAATCCCGGCTGCAGCCACTTGCTGGCCGGCACGTGGCTTTTTTACTGGGCGCATCTATCGCAGCTTTCTGTGGGGGTTTTGCGCGCCACTTAGCGAAATGTTGGCGGGAGGACCCGCGGGGGCCCTGATGACAGTAGTGGGACGGAAAACCGGCAAGGAGGGTGGAATAGCTCGAATGGCAGCCGCCGTGATATAGCTGGTTTGTAGGTTCGATTGTTTTGTCACTGAAGATACGCTGGTCATAATTCAAGCACTGAAATGCAAGTAATGACTGCGGAGACGCGGACTGTGTTGCTTCGTTTCTTTTGCGGAGGAATACGCGTGTGGAGGGAGAGAGAAATGCGAACGAGTGTTTGGTGCCAGTGTGGAAGGCGAGGCGGGCTCGGGTGGACTGTGGCAGCGGTATGGCCCCCTCCGGACGGCGGACGGCAAGTGCCTTTGGCGATATGTGCGGATGTATGTGTATGTTCTGTTTTGTTTTCCTGTTCCGCGCCTTCAGCTGTGCCCCCCGGCATTGGGGGGTCGAGCTACGCGGCCATTCCACTTACTCGATTCTTCGTACAAGATTATAAGCGCGGCCAGCTGACCGGTTCGCCCAATGCGCACCGTGCGCTGAGGGTCGATTGGTAGAACGCTACGAGGCTGAACCTGACATGGGGTAATGGCGAGGCTTGCGATATGCCTGTTGTGCTAGTCGGAGTCGTCATGTCTCAGGCGCCTGGACTTGGTGTGGGTTGCAGGGGGCAACAGTATCGCGAGGGACGTGCGTCTTGCACATCTGCATGTGGCATTTGGAAGGGGCGATCGCTTATTTAAAGCTTTTCACTATGGTGCTGGTGGTGGCAGGGCTCGGGTTTGGCGGGTGTGTGTCCTCTCGATTGCGGGCAGCTTCCAAAGCCCGAATAGCTGGTGGATAAGTGCTTGTGTCTGAGCTGTGCCGCTCGCTCTTTCGACACGTCCTGCCGCCGCTGTGGGTTGCATCAAATGCAAAAGGCAGGTTGCGATTGCGCCATGTGCCGGGCCAGGCTGAGATGCGTGCCGAAAAGGCGCCTGAGGGGCATGCATTCCCAAAGCAACGAGGGGGAAGCCGCTTGTAGAACAGTGGGCTGAGCTTTCATGTGGGTAAGTGCATCGAGTTTGAATGGGATTGCCGAGACAAGACACGATTCTTAAGGAAAAAACACTTTGGAGGAGACGGTGTCATTGCTGACGCATGGGAGAGAAAATAGTGGAAGGGATCGGAGGGAAATCACAGAATGGCGGGGCCGGCTGCGCATGGCGGAATCTTGTTTGCGCTGTTTCTGCAGGTCCATTTCACAATTTTGGGCGTTTTTAGGAATACTGTGGTGCGGCACATCTGGCGCACGCGCAGCCTGTTCTTGGATTGTTTATGCAAGTTTTTGTTTCACCGGATTGGTTGCTCCTTTGCGCATCCAGTGACTATCCAGGATAGTTTGGAACCTAGCCAATCGGAGAAGCATGTGCTTGCCATGCGGGCTCCGTATCTTTTCCGCTTTTGGCCTGTAAGGCATGTTGGGCACTATTCCCGCTGAATGCGTAATCGTGATCTGGGGATGTGTCTGCAAAATCCGCAGCACCCTTACAGATTTGTAAATCATGGCAAGCAATCAACGACTAGTGTATGACTTGGCGGAAGAAGTATGAGTAGTCTACTCTGATAGGAGCGGGATGCGGCAGTTGCAACAGGTAACGTTCCACTAATGCTTGGTGAGCCTACCGCCGCCGATTATACAAGAACACGTAAGTAATTCGTCGATTTATTACGTTAATACTCGAATTGAAAGGGCATGGAAAGGAGGTTTGTTGTATGCGGCAACGCAAGCTTTGAAGTTATGTACGAACAAATGCACTGCGAAAATATCATGGTTTGCTTAGTTTGAAGCCGGACTAGGCTTTGCTAACGATGACAAGCGGAGGGACATTACAAATACTTTTCCTTTATCGAGTACGGGGATCTGCGATTCGACTGATATTACTCCGCTGTGCGCACAAAACCTAGGCGATACTTATGTAACGATACTCACGCGTACTGTGTTACACTTCCAAAATCGTTACCGTCGTGGATTATCAGACTTCCAGCCATACTACGCGCATCACATACCACCAGCGGAAAGAAACATGCAGACTGCATTTGCGACTAATGGGGACTAATGCGACTATCCGGGTACGTTCACGGCTGCTGTACACCGAAGCTCACCATTTAAATCCCAATGATCAAAATCCGTTTGTCCTCTGTTGGTCAGCTGTCTACCGGCGACTTGGCCAGTAACGAATCCTGCCGTCCACCTGGCTGCATCTAGTGTATCCACCAGCGAAATCCTAACGTGATGCCGTTAACAAGAGAAGTCTGCGGATGGCTGCGCACCTGACCCGAACCCCAGCCCCGCCATTTTTCTTCTCGCCCTGAATGGATAAGATTAGTTAACAAACATCCGACGGCCAGGATCCTAACCCATGCCTTATAAAAGTCAAAACCTAACCCTAAGTCAAGACCTCTATTTATGGAACGAACCTTTCCTGCTCACCATATTCGTCACCTTGGCGACGAGTATGCTGCGACGAGAACAGCTATGGCGGTACAATTACGCGCAAAACGAGTCAAGGAATGGGAGCGGAACGGCCCCAGGACGCTCGCGGACATACACGTACCTATTTCATTAACCGTGCGACGCACTGAGGCCACGGTCATGCAAATGAATGCTCTTTAATTGGCGCACAGCTGATGCAGGAATGGGACCAGAGCACCCGCACGGTAATCATGAAACGCGCGTCTAGGAAGTTTTTAGAATGTAAGTCTATAACTCTCTCTTCCCACAGCACTGATCCTAATAGCGGAGCCACGGACCAGCACTTGCCCTCAAGAGCGCCCCAATATCAAACCGGCAGACGCTGTCACCGCCTTGCCCCTCCATTCCCGTACTGCACACTTGATGTCGATGCCCGTACTGCCGACGCGCCTGCGTTCCCGTCGACGGATCTTCGTCGGCCGGGACCCGATTCAGTGGAGGCGCGGCTGACGGAGGTGTTGCGGCTATACGAGTGGTGGCTATGCTGCGGCCCACTGCCGGGCACGGGCGTGGAGGAAGATGCACGTGAGGCTGCCATTGCCGCTTCCCGCTCGCGCATCTGTCGGACAACCTCTTTTTTCTTCTTCAGGATTTCACCATACAACCGCTCCCTGAGGATGAGGATAGCGAAGTAAAATTGACAGCGAATTAAGGCTTGTGATGGCGGGCGGTGTACTCTGAAATAGATGGGTCCAAAACCTTCCCGGTTGTAGTGCGCTTGGAGTCAATCCATTTCCCGAGGGGTGTCGCAATTCCTCCAGGTCTGTACCATTGTTGCGTGACAGGATGTACATGTATAAGAAATGTCCCTTCGCCCCTTGAAAACCAACAACATGAAGTCCATGACGCGCGCTCTTACCTGTACTCGGATACTGTGTACTTAGTGTTGTCGGAAATAGGCAGTACAATGATCCGGTTGCAGACTGGCTCATCCGCCATATTGTGGAACTGCGCTACGTAAGGATGCCGAAGAGCTTGCTCCGCTGTCAGCCGCTTGTGCGGGTTAAAAACAAGTAGCTTCCTGCAAGGAGCGGTAACGAAAGGTCCCGTGGAAATGGTGTCCGTTAACGTAACGCGCAGGTGCAGGTTGAATTTTTGGGCGTATTGAACATGTTTTGTCTGGCAACGCAACCTGACATACGCGCGGCACCTTCACATTCAGTGAACACCGATAGTTTTAAACCTAACCCCTAGCACAGGGCCCTCTTTAACACCAACAGGCCCTACCGCAAGAGATCGGCCGCCTCGGGACTTGCATTGGGGAATATGTCTGCGAGACGGCGAGAGGCCGTGACGGTACACGAATCCATCATAGTAGTGGCAAATGGGGAGTCAATGGCCTCCACGTCCGCTGGTGCCGGCCGGCCACAGAATTCCACGATGCGGTCTAGCTGATTCATGGTCGAGGTGCCTGGAAAGATTGGCTTGCCCAGCAGCAGCTCACCCAGGATGCAACCTGCGAGGTGAGCAAGGTCCAGACATGCACGACACAGCTCGCGAAAAAATAGATTCGTCTTTTGGCTATGGGGCGCAATACCGGGGACATGGCGGTCAGGGCCGATTGCATTTGCAAAAAGGCCCGACGTGAATTTCTGAGTGAACTGACTGCATGTGGCGAAGCTGGTATGGCGTGCAGAATCCTCGCAAGCTGCAACCCTGCAGCTCCTCGCAACCCCGGGAGTCCCCCTTAACAGGTCCGCCTACCGATTCGGGGCGCCATTAATGCCCGTACAGGACAAGGCACATAACTTTCCATGACTATCAGTGTAGCGTCGGGGTTGGGGTCGCTCTTAAGGTGCAAAACCTCATTTCCCACGAGGAACATACTCAATCGCACCACAGTGCCTGAATAAAACGCTGCACCGAAGTCTGGCCAAACCACCGAAGCACTCCTTCACTAACAAACCCACCCAACAGCAGATACCCAGAGCTCACGCACCGCTAGACCACATGTCCACCCCGAAAGTGTACTTGGTGGAGCCGAGCAGGATTTCCGGTGCCCGATACCACCGGGTAGCCACGTAATCGGTAAGGATAGGGTTCTGGCCATCGCTTGCATTTAGCTGGCTAACGCTGCGCGCCAGGCCGAAATCTGCAAGCTTCACCTGGCAGTCGCTGTTGAGCAGCAGGTTGGAGGGCTGCACGTGGATGGGGAAAGAAAGAGCAGTGGCAATCAATTACAGCAAGCGCGTATCAGCACCAGGTATGACTTGGTTGTCCTGCTTTGCTTATGAGAAAACCGCATGACTGATGCGAGAATGGCCAGAATGCAACAAGAACAACTGACTGATGCGACATGCGACCCAGGAGCGGGACTTTCGCGTCAATGGCGTTATCTATAACGCCTTTCCTGATCTGTGTTCCTTGACCTTGCGCCAACGCAATTGCGTTAGGGCCATTTCCAATCTGTTCAGAAGCCCAAGCTGGCCGCAAAAAGCATTTCGTGCCACATCCAGATACCTCTCCTTAAAGCGCTAGGCATTATTATGGGTACGGACGCGCCGGAGTGAAAGGCAGTTTGCGGCGCACCTTGATATCACGATGTAGCAACTCTCCAGAGTGCATGTACTTCAGCGCTTTGAAGAGTTGGTACATGATGTACTGCTTGTGCACTTCTTCCAGGATGTTTGCCCGAATGACAGCGTGCAGGTCCGTCTGTCCATACATAAAGGTTTGCAAGGGAAACAAGGAAGGGCAAGCACCAAGACTGATGACGGGGACTGGCTGACTCCCACGCGCATTGAGTGGGATGCAGTACTCTCTAAAAGGAGCACGGTGCGGAAGATGCCCGTTGGGTTCGCCACCTATCCAGCCACTGGACTGGGGGGTGTAAGTGGGCGTGGAAGATTACGTGCATTGCACTTGAGATGTCCTGCGCCACCCCCTGGATGTGGGATAGTGCCCTGCCCACGCATGACCCAACAGTAACAGACTGTTAGGATGGTTATGACTTCTGACCGTCAGTGCCTGTTCGTGCAGGAGCTTACCTCCATATACTCAAATACGAGGTAGAGATCGCGATCATTTTCAGCTTTGAGCACGTTCAGTAATCTGCACGGAGGTCAGAAACAGTAAGCCGGCCTGCATTGCTTGAGGTGCCCATACCGCGGTCGCACCTGATGATGTTGTCGTGGTTGTTAAGATCCTGGAGAAACATTACTTCTCGAAATGTTCTCTGTTTTGAAGAAACATTTAGCTTTAAAAAGGTGAAAGCGGCCCAACCCTTGCCAAAGTCTCAGCTGACGCACCTGAGCGTCTGTCGCGTTTTGAAACGCGTCAAAAATTTTCTTCAGCGCGACCACCTCCCGCGTCTTGCGGTCAACCGCTTTCCAGACAACGCCATAGGCCTGGATGCAAAAGGAATTCAGAGTCAGCAGCTGTAGATGGCTCACAAACGTGGCGGCACTTGGCTCGCTGTCAATACTCACCCCCTTGCCAAGCTTTTGCTGAATCTCATACTTTTTAAGTATGTGCTTATCGACCTCCTCTTCCGTCATGGCTCCCAGCGCTTTGCGCTTGCGAGGCGGGACTCCCCCCGGCTAGCACTTGTCAGCACCACGGATGCGTCAGCTTGACTTCACCTTGCTGATGTTGTTCGCCACTTATGCAGTCTAAGGACCCGTTATGAAGTGGTCAACGTCCTGCAAACAATGCTTCGCTAAAAATCCAAGGCACCAGCCTCAAGCTGTTTTCAGGGTGTTTTTGAGGACCAATAGAATCCAATCGTAATGACTTTGCCTAGTAAACACAAAATGTCATACGTTCAGGTTGTACGACGGCTGCGCCTTGTATCAGCTCGTAGTTCTCGGTTTGCACATGGAACTATTTGCTCTGTGTTATATTGCACTGTGGTATATTTGTACATGTGTCAACCCTACACCGAGCTAACTTATGGCATTTCGGACAAGAGGGGCACAGGGAGTCTGCGTCGTAATATTCACAATCATAATCACAGCAGATATGCTAGGAAATATTCTTTCCCGGGCGGCCGCTGCTGACCCTGCAGCTCAGCTGCGAAACTGAGCAATCTATCCATCGTATGCAACGACAGTTACTGCTATAAGGACTGAATACTGAAACTAAATTCTTCATACTAGCTTGCTGCAAAATATGTGGAGGGCGTTGGGAAAGGGTGGAGAAGGGAGTGCCAACATCTTGTTGAAGTGCAATTCTGTAATCTGGAAGGGTGGAGGTGAGTTACCAATGGAAGGAGCTTCAAGGGTTTGATATATTTAACGCGAATTTTCCGGGCCATATGATAAGTCTGCACGGGTTGCTGGAACCCCAAGTTACCAACTTGCCATCCGCCGGTAAGGTGGTTAATTGAAGTTACCTTTATGGTTACCTTCGTAATGGCCACGAATGCAAGCATGCACCACATATCGCACAATTCGCAGCAAGGTAACCATAAAGTAACTTCAACTAACCACCTTACCGGCGGATGGCAAGTTGGCACCTTGGGGTTCTTGGCATTTCCAGCAACCCATGCAGGCTTATCGTATGGCCCAGAAAAGTCATGTAACATATATCAACCAGTGAAGCTCTATCCTTTGGTAACTCATATCCACCCTTCCAGGTCACAAAGTTGCACTCCAACAGGATGCTGGTTCTCCTTCTCCGCCCTTTCCCAATGCCCCAAGGTGTCCTGCACACGAAACCGTGAATGTAAGGCACGTTCCGCACGGGTGCCATTTCCGAACAGATGACAGGAACGTTTCCTGTCATCCGACAGGAAACAAAGCAGAACCGGTGCTCTGCAGGGGTGATGGGCACATCGCCTTGCCAGCTCCCAGGATGGTATAGGCTTACAGCAAAACGACAAGACTCAGACTGCTACATGGGGATGGTCTTACGAACCGAACACTTTTAATTTCCACAGGCCTGCAATGCCCTGCCAAGCCAAGTAACAATCCCTTCCGACTGCCACCCTGGCGCCTCCCACTAGGCTGGCAAAAGCGCAGCCTGCTTGATCCGCGCGCATAGGGTGCGGCAATGTGGCACCAAGCCACATCCCGCGAACTCCGGGCCCCCCGATGCAACCGTCATCAGTGCCGCAGCCGTACCAGCCAGACACTCCCGTACTGCAATGTTGTACAGCGGGAAAATCTGTCTTGAAGGCATCTCTCGCTGCTGCTGTTGTCGCTGCTGCTGTTGCTTAGGGTTGGAGCTATCGGACAAGGTGTCCGCCGCTGCCAGTAGTGCCTGGGAGTGTGAGAGGTCCAGGGAGGAGGGGAGGGTCGGGGCCGTGAACACATCACAATAGCAGGTCATAGACTTGCAAGGCCATAACAGCCTGGGGACCACATCATGACCCAGTCGTGCGTCTGTGTGGGTGTTGTGTCACACCTTGAGTTGCGTTACTCTCCTAAATCAATCAATGAACGGGGTTGCAGGGTATCCAACCAGCTCATCAATGCTGCCCGCATGACCTCCACCGCCAACCCCACCTATTGACTACCTACCAACGGGTATATAGGAAGAAGGCGGCTGGAAGGAAGGAGGGCACACAAGGTTAAAAGGGGCACATAGAGGCGCACAGGAACAGCACACCCGGCAAAAGCCCCAACCCAGACACGAACCAAAACGGCTTTTCAGAGCCAGAATGGAAGGATGAATGGGAGAAAGACTGGAAGAACAGGATTAGATAGAGAGGTCGACATAGGTAGATAGAGGGAGAGAAAAAGACTACACACACGGACATGAGACTGAGCAGATGACGCAAGGGCGAGTCAAGAGCTTCACTGTCATGGGTTTACCTGCACATGGCTGGCAAGATAGTCGGGTCCTATATCAGTGGGCTTGGCCACCGCCGTGACGATGGCGCACCAGCTCGGTAACCGGCGGCTGCAATCAGCCTGTGCAGTGCGCGAGGGCAGAAGTGACGTCAGGATCCCAGATCCAAAGCTCCAGGGGGCCCTAGGGGTTCACGTTTCACAGAAAGAAATTATTTGAGCAGGCGTGGGGCACACCGCATATGAGAGTGAGAGAGAAGGCCGGTGCGGCAATAGCCACAAAAGCAAACCAACCCATCCTCCATCTGGCTCCTGTGTGTGAGCAGTCATCGACAATAGACCGGAAAACAAAGGCTGTGGCAATACCTCCAGAGGTACTGGTAGCGCCAGAGACCACCACAGCGATGGCCGAGGAGCTGGGCAGCGGAGGTGCACTGTACAGCATCTCATATGGCAGGAGGGGAAGGGTGGCTTCGTTTGGTTTAAGGACTGCGCCAAGTCCCCCTCCTTACCAGGATGTCAAACAAAGGGCGCGCGTGGTTCAAGGCTGTCGCTGCCGATGCCAGGCGAACTAGTATGGACCGTCTTTCTGGCAGCGCTACCCCTGATGCTGGTGCCGCCGCCGCCACCGCCGCCGCCAGAGTCTGCCCAAGCTCGTGAACCTTCTCCGCAGCGCAGACTAGTACATGCTGACCCAGTGACGGCACAGCCAGCAATTCTCCGAGAGCTTGTGCTGCGGCGACGACGGTGATGGATTCGGCGCCAGAACGGCCGCTGCTGCATGCAGCCGTCAGGAGTCGGTCCACTGCGCGGCTCAAATCCAGGACAACAGTCAGCAGCTGCTCTCTCGCGGCCATGGCAGCCGTGGTGGAGGCGATGGATGGGGCTGCAAGGCCAACCCTTGCCCCGCCCTCCGGTTGATGGTATGCTACGTCTGAATCGGCTGAAGTCCCCAGCCCCGCCGGTGCTGCTGCAGCTGCCGTGTCCACGGCGCCGGCGGACACCACAGCCGTCGACGCCAGGCTGTGTACGGACGCCGCCAGCAGCTTCACGGCATGGCGGAGATGCGCCTGCCGAACGTCGGTCGCGATGACCGCTGGCGTCGTACCTTCTCTGCTGCCTACCAGCAGCTCCTCTATGAAATCGAGTACGGCAATGTGCGGCGGCGTGCCGCCATGTCGCAGAGCCGCCGCGTGCAGAGCTACCGGGTTAGACACGGCTGTTCCAGAAGGTTCGGAGCCGGCAGCGGAGGCCGCCTTTAGCTCCGCCAAGGATTGTAGCCCAAGAAGGACTCGCGACAGCGCAGCTGCCTTTGTTGCTGTGTCCGCCGCCGTCGGCGCCATCGCTGCTGCTACTACTGCCGCCGCCGCCGCGCCGTTAGGTTGGGATCCGCGGCGACCTGACGGATAAAAGGCGCAGCCGCCGCCGCTGCTGCCGCTGGCGGCAGAGCTGGAAGGATGATCGGCCATGTTGACGCCACGCAGCAGTGCCTGCTCGCGCTCGAATGCAGCCACGCCGGCTGTAGTAATGATACCGCCGCCGCCGCTGCCGCTACTGCCGCCGTTGGCCCCAGCCACCGCCGCAGTTGAAATGTCGTAGGGCTTCCATTGCGCCGTTGAGGGCCGCCCTTGAATTGGTACTGGTGCTAGCGTCAATGCCGGCGCGGGCGGCAATAGCAGCGGCAGCAGCAGCTCTTGCAGGGCACCGTGTGCTAATGCTGCTCCCCGTACAGTCGTATCCCCGGGCGCCATCTGTCCCTGGTCACAGCTGCCGTCGGGTACCCTTCCAGCGCTGCCGCTGACGCCGCCACCGCTGCCGCGGTACAACGCGGAAGCATCGCACGGTTGTCGTAAGGTAGCGGGTTCGGGCGCGGTGGTAATGGGAGGGGCTGGGAGGCCGACGGCGGCGTGCAGGGTCGCGGCAGCGGTCCGCATCCGCTGCACCTCCCCCTGGAGCTCTCGAGCCCGCTCCCGCCACTCGGCGACCTCTTCTCGCAAGCGGATGGCTTCCCTTGAGTCTAAGCGGCCGCCGCCGTCGCCGCTGTCGTCGGCGGCAGCGACGCTCTGCGCCTGCTGCTGCCTGCGGCGTTTCGCAGCGACTAATGCGACAGCAACTGCCTGTCGTAATAGGCTGCTGGTGTCGTGCTGATGCCCGGCACCTGCCTGGCCGTCGATGCTGGAGGCGAGGCGACCGGCGCCCCCAGCTGCCGCGGGCAGCCGCTGGACCGGTGCCTCCGCTGGTGCTGCAGTGTGCGTTGCGGGGGCTGCGAAAGGCAACTTCCCGTCATTCGGATGCTGCATTTGGTCTTGTAGCTGCCTCGTTTAGCTCTGATGGGCAGGTAGATTTAAACTGCCGAATAAAAGCCTCTTTCTGTGCGCTACAATTGTAAAAATTAGCCATCAGCGACTTTGCTTAACTTCGCTGTGCTTGGAGGTGGCAAGGCAAGGCGAAGAAATAGGCGACAAGAAAACGCTATGGAAATAATGTTTACCGAAGCACCGGAAGGAGTTGCCCACGCTTTTCCTTAGGAGTGCTTTCAAAATAATGTAGGTGACGCGGAGCTGTAAGGAACGGCTGCTGACGCGCATGCGTGCTGAACAGGTTTCTCGATTTGAGCCGTTGGAAAAAAGCTAAGCGAAGGCAGAAAAGCGAGCAGCCATCATTATTTTGCATAGAATTATCTTTTCCTCTCCAATATCACATCCCCAGTCGCAAAGCATTTCACTTGGAAAGTAACATCGGGAGGAAACGAACTTTGCACACAACTTAGCAGCCACTTGCGGATCTACATGTGGGCACCAAAGTGCCTCTATGCCTCGGACGGTCCTTGTGTACTCAACTTATATGACCAAACATGGTACTCCACGTAAATCGATTCAATTGATTTGACATATGGAATGCACAGTGGATCCGAACAGTTTATGGCGAGAGTCGGCAGTCGCTTTGGGCCTCTATGGACGGATCGTGGCTCAAGGCCACCGGCGCAAGAACACGCTAAGCCCCAACCGTGTCGCCATGGCTCATAGGTCACTGCGTCACGCGTGCATGTAATGATAATTGTACGATACAGGACCTGTAAACATAAAACCTTGCGGCGTGGCGCGTGTCTACCTGCATTTGAAGACCTTTGCAACTGACAGACGGCTGGAATTTGAAATCGCAAGCAGGACACAAAACGCCCAACCGACACCCAACCGACGCCCAGTTTGACGGGCAACCGCCTCATGTAGGAGGCCCAACCGCGCAATCGGTGCGCTGGACGCATGCTTTATCGTTAAGTGCGCATTTTATTAGCCGTGCAGGCAGGCAGGCAGGCAGGCAGGCAGAGCTCATGACAGTTGCGCTCAACGGCTTCAGCTGGGGGGCAGAACTAGCTGGCAACTCCATGGTGGGCTGCTGGAAAGAAATCACACGTACAGCAAAAGAATGCGCCAACGCGGGGAAAGGCTTGCGTGAGGATGCGCCAGCCGGCACAAGGTCATAGCCACCTGCCGAGAGCGTGCATGCATCAGCAACCCGTGGAAGACCCGTCCCGTTCCGTTCCGTTCAGTCCGTGCGCGGTGCTGCAACATTGCGATGTTGCAATATCAACGGGGTATCGCACTGCGGGCGGCTCGCCCTGAGAAAGGCCTGAAGCAAAAGGAAGGTGATCGGGGTCGCGACTCGCCAGGAACTCTTGCCGAGACTGAATGAAATCCTCTTACTTTGACTCATACGCTACCTGTTTCAGTCCTCAAAACTTCCCAGGTAAATTCCATACTTTTCGTGTTATGCTAATCGTAAGGTACAGATTACGCCCGAGTTCGGATATTGCGACTTCGGGGTGTTTTTTGCTTCGGGGTGTTTTTGGTTTCAGGCGCCACGTGATGCGTGGGTAGCGTTGCGATCTGCATCAGTAGGTAAACCTCCTCCAAGTTCTTATCTTGTCACTGGGCCGTCATGTCTGTTCCGAAGGCCTAATCAGACTTACTCAAGTCCTAGATAGGTTCGAGGCAAACTCAAACAGCTTTTACAGGGCGTAAAAGTAATTCAACGGCCCTTTGCGTTGAATGCGATTGTTACCGTGGACTCCGAACGGCCCTTTGCGTTGAATGCAGTTGGCTTGCAAGAGCCACTTACATGCCGAAATTATGCGCTAGTCGCCAGCCCCGAAAACCTGGCCGTAGAGCCAATATTCCCAGTCTCATAATATAAAGACTTGGTAAATATTTATATATGTCACTATAACTTTATGGCGCTCTTGACGGTCGAGTTTTTGGTATGAAGCGCTATCGGGGGGGGGTAACCGGGTAGCATCGCAGACAACCCCATACCAAAGAAATAGACGCTAACTAAAAGACGATACATATTAATCTGTATTGTTGCATAGGTTTACGCAGAGCCTGACGCCAAGACGACGAAGACCCCGATGACGTCTGCTCGTAAAAGTGCAAAAAGGTAGAATATGGGTAGGAGTGAGGGAGGGAGCGCCGGGAAAGATTGAAGAAACTTTTCTTCCTGTAATGTGTAGATACCTACTGGTGCGGTTTAGCTCTCTTCCCATGCTTCGCGCTGTCACATAGCTACGCGACCCACCCGGCACTCTCCATTAGCCCGCTGGTCCAGCTAAATTCCGTGATGCCTGGGGAGATGAGCTGCTATATGAAAATCAATCGAGTGCTGGATGAGAGTGGTCAAGCTGCGATACCGATAGTGCCCAGGTCCCCCACTATTGCGGGAGCTACCCCACGACCCATCTTTACTTAAAAGCAAATTTTGAGAAGAATTTTCTCAATATTAAACAAATTATATGTTTGAGATTTTCAAAAGTGCGTTAGTATGGCTGAGCTGGGCTTTTGTAACAGCGCGAACAGCCTTTGCGACGAGCATGCCGCCGTTGAGTACTTCACTAGTAAGTTAATCCAAAGCGACTTCCTGCCCTGGCCTGGAATTGCGCTCAGCTCACTACCCGCCTGGGCATGACCGTTTCTTTGTTTTGAAGGTGCCTCTAGCTGCCTGTCTGGCATTATCCGCATCATACTTCATCGCAACGTTCAGAAATAACTCAATACCTTTAGAACCGAAGGCGTCGATTTCAGTTGCCTGGCTTACACGTGGCTCCTCCGATGCATCCACTTCCGCATCCGCATCCGCAGCGCAGCTCTTGCAACCTTTCGCCATATCGTCTTTAAATTCATATATCTTTGAAAAAATCACAACAGCACTGTGCGCTGCGCTCGTGGGATATGGCATCGGCGTGCTGGCCAGCCGCCGCCGGCATCGGCATATGCCCCAGCCATCGCAGCAGGCCCTGCACCACACCACCACCCTTCACTCCCGTCTTCACGCCGCGCTGGAGCTTTTGAGAGATCTATTACCAGGGCATGTGGTCGATGAACTATTAAATGATACTCAGGTTTTCCAGGAGGAACAACAAGAGCGAGATGAATCCCAGCCCACATCATCGCAGTCTCAGCAGCAGGCATTCGCTGATCCACTCAGCATCGACGAAACCTTCGAAGGGGAGGTTCCGTGTGATCGAATTGACTCAGGGTTTCGAGTGCCACTGTCGCCCCTTGCCCGCGACTCGCCCTTTACCACCACTGGCGCCGCCAGCGCCAGCTGCAGCAGCTGCGGCAGCAGCTGGCACCGCAGCCCCGGCAAATCAGGCGTTGGCGTTGGCGTTGGCTCTAACGGCGCCGCCAGCTCCGCCGTCAGATCGTACCTGTCGTACATGAGCTCGTCCCATCCCACAACTGAAATGTCGGATCGATCTGCTGGGCCGGGATTCCACAACCACCCATACGTGCAGTGCACGGCCAGCTGGCCCGCTGGCTCTACTCTTCGTGAGTCTGAAGCCCACTGTAACAACCACCCATACCACCAGACACTCTCCCCGACGGCGTATGAACGCCGCGTGTCGTATTGCGCCGAGATTATTCCGTACACATTCAGCGACGGCACCGCTGCCAGCGACGGCACGGACGTCGCAGCGTTGGCGATGCCTCTAAGCCGGCGGCGGTCCGTATCCGCTAGTGGCCTGGCGGGCTGCTTGCCGACGTCTACGGCAGCAGGATTCACGACAAATGTGCCGTACCGCCACCGTTGCAGCCTGGCTGATGCACAGCGAAGTGTGGCAGCTGGGGGCGACGACGCCTTCGTTACGGGTCCCAGCGTTGGCATTGATGATGTGCAGGAGGCGCAGGCATGGCCGTCACACACCGCCGGCTCCGCCTGCTGCCGTACAAGCTCCTTACGACGGTTAGCACCCGAAATGATCCGTTGGCGGGGAGAGATGCAAGAAGCTGGTGGCGACGGCAGCTCCGTGACGATGCGGATCCCAGCGTCGCCGGCGGCAGTTGTCGTAACGCCGCCTGAGTTATCGTACAGTAACCCTGTGGCATTGGCGGTCATTCTTACGGACGGTCAGAGCTGCTGCTGCCGCGTCGGCGGCGTCGGCGTCGGTGGCAGGGCTGGCGATGTTGGCAGCGACAGAGTTGGGAATGCCGGCGGCAGCAGCAGCAGCAGTAGCGGTGGTGGCGGTGGTGGCGGCGGCGGCGATCACAGTCACAGCGATACATCCCTTAACGCTATGGCCGGCAGCAACGCTAATTTTGTACCACCGCCGCCAACGGCGGCCGTTGCGGTGACGGTATCAGGGCCGGCAATAGCAGGTGCCGCTGGTACGGTGCAGGTGGACGAGATGTCGCCGCTGCCGTCGTGGTCTGCGGAAGAGAATGTCGAGGAGGGTACTGATGGGCAGCACCACCAGCACCACCAGCACCACCAGCACCATCAGCACCACCAGCACCGCGGGCATCAGCAGAAGGAGCGACATCACCAAGCCCAGCAGCATCCACAGCACCTGCGGCTGGTGGACCAGGAGCAACAACCTTGTGGCAGACAGTCAATGCGTCGTGAGCAGCAGCCACATGGACGCGGTAGCTATCAAGGCGACGACCGATCGGGAGAGGAGTTGAAGGGCGGCGATTGCTGCAGAGGTGGTTTGGGTGCCGGACCGTCGTCATACAGTGTGGCGCGTGAGGCCGACGTCGTCGCCAGTGCCGCCGCCGCCGCCACCGCCGCCAGTAGGAGCAGCGGTAGCAGCGATGGAGGCGGCCGTCAAACCCCCGATGAATTGTTGCCGCCACTGGTCCACAATTGCTCCGAAGCCCAGCTGAGACCCAAACCCACATTCCTGGCTGCTGCTGCTGCTGCTGCTGCTGCTGCTGCTGCTGCTGCTGCTGCTGCTGCTGCTACTACTGCTGTGGTGACGGCAGCCGCGGAAGAGAACGAGAAAGAAGAGGCGAAAATGGTTTCGGAGCGGGGTAATGTTGCGATAGTGGTGGTTTCGGCGCACATGCGAGGTCGTGGGTCGTGGGACGACACTGCAAAGACGGAGACAATGGTTTGGGAGCGGAGAAATGATTCGTACGGAGGCACCGCCCCGCCCTCCCTATCAGCGGCAGCCCCGCCATTGCCGCCGCCGGCGCCGTACGGGGAGCGATCCCGAGCGCCGTCGCCAGCTGAATCGCCGACGGGAGTAACAGTCCCTACATCGTCGCCGTCGGTGGCGGTGACGTCGGCGGCGTCGATCAACCTGTCCGCGGCGTCACCGCCGCTACCGCACGTGACGAAGGCGACGACGACGGTGGTGACGGCCGATGCAGCACCGACGCCAGCTGGGGCTCCTGGTCCGTTAGTGGCGGTTAAATGGGACGCGTCCGTCAGGACTACGAGTGGACGTGTATTGGAGCTTTCAGGCGGAGAGGAAGGGATGGCTGCTGCTGCTGCTGCGGCGGCGGCGGCGGCGATGGGGGCGGCGGGAACACCGGATCGGGATGGGGATGGTGACATGCTGGGGGTTGCCAGAGAATGGAATTGCCTTCAGGACTGCGGCTGCGGCGGCTGCGGCTGCGGCTGCGGCGGTGGCGGCTGCGGCAGCGGCGGGTCCAATGGGAGCAGCAGCGGCTCCCCAACCGATGGTACGACAGACAGAACCACTGCCACCGGCGCTGCCCCTGTCGGCAGTGGCCTTGCCACGGACTCCCAAACGAAACCGTCAGACGAGGCGGCTTTCAAGTGGGCTGAGCGCGGGCTGCAACGCCCTGGCTATAGCGGTCAGTGTACGACACAGTTGGCTGCTAGGGTTGATGTCCAACAGTCCAACGAAGGGATGACGGATCCCTTCAAATCACGGCCGCCTGCGGAGTTTGGTGAGCCTTATGGCCAGAGCCGGGGTGTGCCATCGATACAGAAGTGGCTAGGAGTGGCGGGGACAGACCCACGTCATTGCCTGCTAGTTTCCGAGGAGGTGCAGGAGGAGGAGGAGGGAGAGGAGCAGGAGGGAGAGGAGGAGAGGAGGAGGAGGAGGAGGGAGAGGAGCAGGAGGAGGAGCAGCAGCAGGGGTCGGGTGCTGCAGCCGTCACGGCAGGTGGTAAGGTTGGGGGTTCTCCGCTGCAGGGGAGCTCGGCGAAGAAGCTAAGGCCAGTTAACTTCATGCATAAGGTTGTACGACAGCGCTCGTCAGGGCAGGGGCTCCCTGCACCAGCACAGCCACCAGCGGCAACAACAACTACGACATCGGCGGCTGCGGTGACGGCAGAGTCGACGGCGGCAGGGGCGGCGACGGCTGGGGTGACGGCAGAGTCGACGGCGGCAGGGGCGGCGACGGCTGCGGTGACGGCAGAATCGACGGCAGCAGGGGCGGCGACGGCTGGGGTGACGGCAGAGTCGACGGCGGCAGGGGCGGCGGCGGCTGCAGGGGCGGCAGAGTCGACGGCTGCAGGGGCGGCGGCGGCTGGGGTGACGGCAGAGTCGACGGCGGCAGGGGCGGCGATGGCTGCGGTGACGGCAGAGTCGACGGCGGCAGGTGCGGCGGCGGCTGGGGTGACGGCAGAGTCGATGGCATCAGGGGCGGCGACGGCTGGGGTGACGGCAGAGTCGACGGCGGCAGGGGCGGCGGCGGCTGCAGTCGCGGCAGAGTCGACGGCGGCAGGTGCGGCGGCGGCTGCGGTGACGGCAGTGGAGCCGTACTACTACGAGCCAATGGCATTCCCACCAGCATCCGGCTGGGAAAAAGTAATGGTGCGGAGCTGTACGACTGCGTTGTACGACATGCAGACCGGGACGGTGGCGGCGCCGCCGTCCGCAGTAGGCAGGGAAATGATCACTATTTCCAGTGAACACGGTACAATACCCGCACCTGCCGAGGCCATCCGCGGGGCTCTGCCCGGGGTTAGCTGCTGCTGTAATGGTGGCAGTAGCAGTGGCGGCGGCGGCGGTGGCGGCGGCGGCAGGGCCGTCATGCCGTTGCACGCTGGCATGCTTTCGGTATCGCCGCGACCTCTTGCAGAGGAGGCCGCGGCGGCAGCGGCGGCCGCCGACGCAGGAGGAGGGATGTACGACAAAGCTGGCGTCACTGGCGGCAGCACCACCCAAAGCTGTTACAGCTCCTACAGCTTTGGATGCGTGGCGGCTGAAGGCAGCCGCGGCGGAAACGCGGTTTACGTCTGGGCATCGGCGGCAGAAGCCATCCCGGGTGCCGTGCAATGGTTAGCAGTACAGCCGCCGCAAACTCTGCCGCCAGCACCCCGGACGACGTCAACGCAAAGCCATGTGGGCCCGCAGCTGGCGTCGGCGCCGACCTGTCCGGCGGCTGGCGGAAGTGGGCCCAACTCGCCGCAGAGATGGGGCTTGCTTTCACGGAGCCTGAAGAACGGCTCTCAGGAAAGCTGTAGCACACCGCCGCCGCCGCCAGAGCAGCAGCAGCAGCAGCAGGGATGTTCCGCATTAACGACGGCTGCAGCACCACCCACCATCGCCGCCACGGAGTCGGAGTTGGTGCGGCTGCAGGACGCTTCCAGGTCTGCTAGCGTACAGCCGCATGAAGCCAAGCTGGCGGAGGCGGCCGCTGAGGCGGCGACTGCTGATGCTTCAGTTGATGTGTACGGCCAAACTACATCTGCTCCAACTGTAGCAGATCGCACAGGCGCTACAGATCCTGCAGCCGTAACCCTTTTTTTTAACCCTGCCAACGATACGGCTACTGCCGCTTCATTATTATGGGCTAAGGGAGCCGCGCTGGGGGGGAATTCGGACGCCAAGGCCTGCACCGTCAGCCGCCGTCTGGACGAGCTGCCTGAGCACGTATTGTCAGTTGGAGCTGTTAGACCGGCGGTTGCCAACAACGGTAACGGCCCCGCCGGCGCCGCCACCGACACAGCCGCGGCCTCAGCTGCTGCTCCCGCTCCGTCATGCGAACTGCTGTTTGGCGCGCGTATGAGCGGATGCGGCGATTCCTATTCCTCCTCCGGCAGAACATCGAATCGTTCCATGGCCTCAGAATCCACTGTACGGCGTAGTACGGCAACCGCCTGTGTTGATGGGCTCTGGACCGCACCGCCACCCTGTGGCGTGTGTGCAAGTAGTACGGGTAGCGTGCTGCCGTCGGCACACATGTACGGCGGCGGGCGCGGCACGGTCACCGGCGCCGCCACCGAGCTGTACGACGAAATTACGGTTGCTGACTTCAGTGACGGCGGCGCCCTGTCTGTTGCGGCTCGTGATCCTCCCGATGGCTGCGAATTGCCCGACTCACCACACGAACATCCAAATGTCAAACTCCGGCTTCGGAGAGTGAAAACGTCGATCGCCGAGCTCTTCTCCATAGGAAGCGGCGGCGACGGCCGCAGCGGCGGCAGATGTAGCGGGGGCGGCGGCGGCGGCGGCGGCGCCGCCGATGGTTGGAGCCGTGGCGGCCGTACAAATGTACGGATTGGGGAGACCACCCAAAGAGCATGGGGAGGCGATCCAGCGGCTAACAGAGGCGACGCGTACGACACGACAAAACACGACAAAGGAAAGGATTACCGGCAGGGGCGTCGCGGCGGCTTGGGGGTGCTCCGTACGACATCCGGCGCGGCGGCTTTCTTCCGTGCCGTCGGCTCCGCAGCCAGCGGTGTGGTCGGGAGCATCTTGTACGGCACCTCTGCACCGTCACATGAGCCACTGGACAAGGCGGCAACGGCGCCTCCTCCGTCACCTCCGCCGTCGTCAAACGGATCTCCGCTGCGCGCTTCGCGGAGGGACACTGGCTGTTCCGATAGTTGCGTTTATGAAGGCGCGAGGGCGGCGGCTCCTGCGTCGCCGGGCGCCGCGACGGTGAGAGCGGCGTCGTTGACGTCCTGCCAACGCCACCTGCACGGGATGGACGGTCGTGAAGTCGCCCAAGGAGGGCTAATTTTGAAACAGTGCACCAGTGGCAGTGGCGGCGGCGCCGGCCCTGCTTCCGCCGCCGCTGCTTCCGCCGCCGCCACCGTTGCGCTGCCTTCTGCGCATTGGTGCACAGGGGCCGCGGAGGCAGCATCGCCGCCATCGTCGAGCAAATCCACCAAGACGGCTCGAACGCCATTGCCGGTTCCCAACCGCTTTTCATTCCCCTTTCCCGTCTCATCCAATCCCGCTTCCACATTCCTTCGCGCGGTATCCTCACCCCTTTCCGCCGCCACCACCACCACCACCGCCGCCGCCGCCGCCGCCGCTTGTACAGCTGTCCCTGCCGCAGCTACACCGACATCAGCCACGCAACCAACTCAACCGCAACCGCAACCGCAACCGCAACAACAACAACAGCAGCCGCACAGGCTGTCGCCGCGGCACTCGCTTCAATGCAGACAGTACGACACAAGTCGGCTGTTTCAAAGGTGTTCTCTAAGTGCGATCGATGACGTGATGGAGCAGCCCGATCCGACAGACCGGCCACAGCCTAGTTTGCGCCCGGATCGCAACCCATATCCTGAAGCACCAATCCTAACGGCTGCGCCTTCTGACAGGGTAGCAGTAGCAGGTGTTGTTTCAGGGGAACAAGCAGGAGTAGGAGCGGCTGTGGTGCGCGCACGGAGAAAAGCTGATGGCGTCAGCGGCGGCGGCGGCGGGGACAGTGGCGCCGGCGGCGGCGCTGTTGATGTTCTGGACACCTCCTTGCCGGCGACGGTATCGTACGGCAACCTTGTGGGCTTGGCAAATGCTCTGCAGAAAACCGCGACGGAGGGCGGCGGCGGCGAGGTTGGCAGTGGCGGCGGCGGGTGCGGCGGCGGCGGGGTTGGCAGTGGCGGCGGCGGCGGCGGCGGGGTTGGCAGTGGCGGCGGCGGCGGTGGTGAGCATCCTTCGATGCCGACGGCTCGAGCTCGGAGGTCAGTGCAGTGGACAGCTGGCTGGGCGAAATCTTGATGAGGATTACGTCATGGGCCGCTATGAGGCGGGTTTTTATGAAGGACAGTCTTGGCTACCATCGATTCTTTTATGTTTACCAACGCGAACTGGAACCAACAACCTGACCGTCGGGGAATAGAAGTTACTGTCATCACGGTGTGGTGTTTTCCGTTATTTACCTGCCTAATCTTGGTTCCTAAGTCCTGTCAAACTGTCAAACCGCCAAACTGCCCGCCGTGAAAACTGTTGTTGACTGTTGCTGACGGCACTGCCACCGATGGGCTGCCAGGGACTTATTTCTACACTCCTTGTAAGACCTAAGATGATAATTCCTGCTGTACCGGGGGTTGACTGTTTTTGCCGTACGGTTCACATCCTGGGTCCGCTCGTCTTTTTTCTTTTTTTCCTTTCCTTTTCCATCCCTATCTTCCCCTCCCTTGCCGTGTCATTTTCCGAAAACCCTAAAACCCTTGCAGGATCCACCGCGTATCCACAGGCCTACCCTTCTACAGCGGCCGCGGCAGCTCCTGTGGATCGGTAGAGGCCGGCGGCGGCGGCGGCGGCGGCGGTCGCGGTGGCGGCCGCCGTAGCATCTCCAGTGCTGCCCTCGGCACCACTGCCGTATGCAGCAACACCGTCAGCAGCGCCGGCGGCTCCGCCGGCATCGCCGCCAGCAACATCGCCGGCAGCTACAATAACGGTGGCGCCGGCGGCGGTGGCGGCGGCGGCGGGGGTGGTTACAACCTCGGCCGTGACCTGCCGTACGCGGAGTGGCACCCTTGCGTCAGCGTGTTGTTTGCTGACATCTGCGGATTCACCCAAATCAGCAATCGGGTGTGTCGGGGGGTTCGGGGGCCTGTGCACACCGGTGGCTCGGTGGCCAGAGGATTTAAAAAGTATGAGGTGGTAGCCGTTACACCCCCCCCCGGGAAGAGCCTTCTTCCTTTCCTTCCTGCCGCCCTTCTTTCTCATTTCCCTCAATACGCGGCACAGTAACGCAGCCGCCGCCCAAACAACCCGAATGGCCTCCATGCTACCATACCCCCACCCCTTGTCTAGCCCCACTCCTCCACACCCTCTCACACACCACCCTCAACATGAACCTCACCTCTTTGTATCTCCTGAGGCAGTAGTACTGTTAGCAACTCACCCCCCGGGTGCGTTCCATTTTCAGTCGAAAACCTAAACCCTAATTCCCCAAAACCTGAACCCTCTCCCAACGCCCCAGGTCTCCGCAGTCGCGGTCATGGAGATGTTGAATGCGCTGTATAGCCGGCTGGATGCTCTGTGCGCTTCCTGGCACCAATCCCACGGTCCAACGACCCACGGGTCACAGCCGGTGTACAAGGTCCAGATCATCGGTGATGCGTACATGGTAGCCACCGGGCTGCTGGCGGATGACCCTGTGCATGCTGCCACCGCTTGCCTTTTCGCTCTGGCGGTTTTACGAGAAGCAGCCCAGGTAAGGCGTTATAAGAAAATCAAAACCCTAAGAAAACCCTAAAACTCTAAAACCCTTCCCATGATTCATCATCAGCCAATCTCCAGCACCCACCTTCCCCCTAAGCATATCACCTTCACCGCGGCATCAACCCCATCTTTCCCATAATAAGCTCTAATAGGCCGTCCTCGTCCGTCCCTCCCTCCCCCTCCTCCCTCTCCTTCTCCCCTGTCTCTTACGCCCCAACAACAATAACAATACCCCCTAGGTGGTGGACCCGTGTGATGGACGGCCGCTGCGGCTCCGAGTGGGCATCCACAGCGGTCCGGTCGTCAGTGGGCTGGTGGGCCGCATGAGGAGGCAGTACTCGGTGTTTGGAGACACCGTGGTGAGTGCGACTTGAATGTGTATGTGCATGTGTGTATGTGCATGTGTGTATGTGCATGTGTGTATGTGCATGTGTGTATGTGCATGTGTGTATGTGCATGTATGTATGTCCATGTGTACTTGATTTCGTACGGTAGGGCGAAAGGAAGGGTGACAGAAGCTGGACTAGCAAAGCAGCGGGAGGCCTAGTGGCCTTCCATCGGATCCATATGCTCCAAGATCCCGATTCCAATCAAAGCGCCACGACCCCATGGCGCCAAAATCTAAGGAGCATCTTCTCCTTCACCGCATCGTCTCCGTAAGCCCTAAGACGCTAAAAAGTCTTCAATCCTTGATAAAGCATCTCCAGTGCGAGGTAGAATGGTGCTTATAGGCGATCTGGCAGCCCTTGAGCCCTCGGCTCGTATTTGGGCGGTTTGCAGGTACGGGGAAAGCAACCACGACCATGTAACACACACACACACACACACACATCTCCATGACGGATATCACGTCCGCTTCTTAAACACCCCTTCAACACCTGAACAGAACGTCGCTTCTCGTATGGAGAGCACTGGTGCCCCTGGAGCCATCCACGTCAGCGAGGAGACGCAACGGCTGGCGGCGCCGTACATGCCGCCGTACACCGTTACCTGGAGGCGCCGAGAAGGTGTCGAGGTGAAGGGTAAGGGACTAATGAATACCTACTGGCTGGAGCCGTACACCCATCCGTACACACCACTACCCCTACTGCCACCACCGCTACTGCCCACACAACAACAACGACGGCAGCAGCAGCAGCAGCAGGAGCAGGAGCAACAGCTCCAAAAGCTATGGAGCTTCGGAGATTTGTCCAAGCTGCCGTACATGTCGTCACCGTCGCCGCCGCCACCATCACCACCCCGGCAGCCTCTTCCACCCGCATCACGGCGGCAGCAGTCGGCAACTGCGCCGTCGGCACCACCACCATTCGGCCAGGAGGTTCGCGAGTACGAGCAGGAACGACGGGTGGCGTCACAGCCGCTTCCGAGGATGCTGTCCGTACCGTCACGTACCGACACTGCGGAGTCGTACATCGGCGGATTGGCACCGGTGTTACCGCCTGTTGTGATGTCTTCATCGGAGCCGCAGCCGGAAGCCGCTGCAGCGGTTGCCCCCGGGGTTTGAACCGCCGCGGTTAAGGAGCACATGTGCTAAAAAACATTTTTTTAAAACACATTTAATTTGCAATGAATTGTCCTGAATCGTAAAGGGGTGAGAGGGACATTGGCTTCGGCAATCCGTATGAGAGGGGCGATGCGAGCGGCAACCAGAACGGCCAGCTTTATGCGATCGTATGCTAACCATTCATCGATGCGGATATTCGGATCATTGGTGGCCCCCCATTTACCGCTGTTACCAATATACGTCTTTTATTGTCAAGGTTTTGGTGGTGAGCAATACTGTCGTACGGTACGGAAAAGTGCACGAGCGGACTGTGCACGAGCGGTGGCCTTCGGATAGATATGGAAGGTCGCGGTGGGGGCCCTTGTGTGTCAACAGCCGTTTCCCGCGGGGCCCGCCGTCTCGTGTAATGAATACCTGGCGATAGCGCAACCGCGAGTGGTTGCCCACGTCATCATCATCGCATGGCCTTCGGGACCGAAGGTGTAGGTGGGAGCAATGCCTGTGTGTGTATGTATGTATGTATGTATGTATGTGTGTATAGGCCGTGTGTGAAGGTTACAAGTATCTAACCGGGCCTGACACTGGCCAGGGGCTTCTGCTCAGGCCCTACGGAAAGTGTGTGCGTGTGTGTATAGCGCGTGTGCTGCGCGTGTGCTGCGCGTGTGCTGCGCGTGTGCTGCGCGTGTGCTGCGCGTGTGCTGCACGCGTCTGTCTGTGTATTGGTGTGTGTACGTTTGTGTATTCAAGGAGTGCGTATGTTCTGATTTGGGCTTTAACAAGGCCCTCAATAAAGGTCAAACGATCTAGCAAAGGTAACTTCGGGGATAAGGTATGAGGTACGGAATCGAATCGAACGAAAGCGTTACGAAGACCTGCAGGGCGACACTCCCGCCACGCATATTTCCGTCGAGACAAGCAAGGCATTCATGCAGCAGTACGGAAATGCGCGAATGTGTATGTATGGGTGTTGTAATGGATGTATGTATATGTGTATGTATGTGTATTGTACGGATGTGTGTATACGTGTGTTTATCTGTACGTGCGTGTGAATTGGGTTCACTATGGACATTCTTTCATGTGCGTATGCGGTAAATGAAATAAGTATCCGTACGTCCGTACGTCCGTTACATTATGCAACAGGTGAACCTGCTTTGCGTTTAAACCGATATCAATTTATATGATATTCCCAGCAACGTTTTTCCCAAGATATTTTCCACCGCGCTTTTATTGACAAATCTGGCCTCCGTTAGATGGGGGCTGTAGCTGTGGCCGTTGACAACAACGAACCTGCCGTATGTTCCCCACGTTGTTTTTTCCGCCGCCGGAATCCACTAGCAAGATACGATCCTCAATCTGTCCACATTTCCCCCTGGAGGAGTTGTAAAACAGCCACCCTCGGGGGGGTTCCGCGCCTGCCGGTTCCATTCAGGGCACATTGATGAAAAGAAAGAATGATTGGATGTCGTACTGTGGCTTGGGTCGTACGGCACCTCGTCTTGAAGCGCACGGGGGTGTGCAACATGGCTCCTAAGCCATCCAGCTGGCGACCGCAGCTACCATCATGTTGCAGCTGCATGTCATTTTGGTCGCCCTCCCCCGGTTGTTGCCTGTTTTTGCTCGAGTTGCTGCTATTTATATAAATAATATTTGTGTTTTTCTCGATTGGATGATAAATGCTGCGATCATGCTGCTCTGCCGTACCTTGAATATCCCAGGATTTAATTCCCAGCCAGTTGGCCGAGCCCACGGCCGGACCATACGTGCGTTATTGAGTTTCTCAATCCTCAATCCTAAGTCCGCACGCCATTCAATTGTGTTGCGCCTTTAATTCCCCTACCACATTGCGGTCGCTTGTGCTGCCAGGCATCCGGTTCATCCGGGGGTTTCCAGCGGTGCGTGCCGTGTATCGTACGGAAAAGTCAGGTGTAGCGGGTCCTGCCGTTTCTGTAGCGGTCGATATATATAAATCAGATATATAGCTGCTGCCACATGTGCTGCAACCCCGCTCCTGTCCGTGCGGTGTGAAGGCGATATATAATTTCAAATGTAATTTCGTTCCTTTGGGGACAGCTATAGCCGGGCTATTGTTGCTGCGTTCCTTTGAACGAAAGTTAAACATAAGATTGGAGTTATCCTAACGCTATATCCTTAAGTGTCACTTTTAATATATGGTACAAATAAATTTAAGGGGGTAGTGATTTTATTCCTTTTACTGATGGCAAGATCTAGAGGGCTCTCGAGCGATTGAACCTCAGCGATGGCGACCCTGCCTACCTGCCTACCTGCCTGCCTGCCTGCCTAAGTTACGTAGCGACAGCGGTGGCTTATGTAGCCCTCCATACACCTCTCCCCTTTTATTCATCACGTGTTTCAGTTTGTCGGTCGGTTAGCCGGTCATCAGTTGCTGGTAGTTAGCTGGTTCGTCGTGTTGGAAAGTGACCGACATACATACAATGGCAGGCGGCTGGCAGAGGTTAAGGCCTGACTTCTGCTCCCAGTTGACCCAGTCGACCCGGGTTCAAATCCGCCTGCCGGCTCCTCGGGTGTTTGAGGAGTGATGAAATGGGAGGTGGCCCCCCATCTTATGGACGGTGTAGGACGTGATAATATCAACTTGCGAGCTGACCAGGAACTAAGTTGATGCGCCGTTGATCCGCTAGATTTGGTTGGATGCTGGTGGTGAGTTGCCGAACCCAACGAATACATTCTGAAGTCGGATGGGGTGACGGATTAGGGTGCCCCTCTAGCAGGGGAGAGCAGGGACTGCCCCGGGAAAGGGGGCCGCTGGCGAAGTTAACCACCCTGTAACAACATACATACAATACCAGTGAATGGTAACAGCAGTAATGGGACCCCGGGGGGTTCCGCGGCGCTTTGCTTGTCCAAACACGTGGGTCGTTGGGTTTGGCGTTAGTACGGTGTCTGGTCTTGCGTCGTTTGAAAAGGCAAAACCTCGTACAAGGTGTTGCTTTTTCCAACGACGTATTAAAAATACCTTGTTCGAGCGCGAACGATCGGTACGGTGTGAAGGGGTCGCTCGGGTGGGAAGCGGACGAAAAAACTAACCTAATCTAATCTATCTCCGGCAGGTGCAAGTAGTAGTGCGACTGTGAGAAATAAGACAGCGGTGAATATGCACGTATGCGTGTGTGTTGACACACGGCGTAGAGAGGAGAAAAGAATTATAAGTTTTGTGCGCCATTCCTTTTTCAGAAGGAATGGGCGGCGCAGAGGTCGCGGACGCGGCCCTTGAATAATATG